TATAGATCGCTTTGTGAATATAATAAGCAAAAGAAGGCGTACTTCTGACAAGCTTAAACTGAACAAAGTACCAAATTCCAAGAAAATCAAACCTCAACAACCCCACTCGGAAACAATCGTTTTTCATTTCTGGCTAATGAGAACAAATCAAGTACTAGTAGTAAACCAACTGAAAAACTCAAACCTCCTCCAATTTATCTCCGCGAGCGTAGCTCAAAAGTACTTATTGAGTTATTAGCACAACTGGTAGCAAATAAAAATTTCTATGTCATACCTTTTACACAACGTAATGTGCATGAAACGAAATACAAGTGGACAGCGAAGCAAACTATCGTAACGTTGTTAGAGACCTACAAGCTCAAAATAAGAACTACTACACGTACCAACTTAAAAGCAGCAAGGGTGTTTCTGTGGTCATAAAAGCAATCGATCCTAACGTAAACACTAATGAGTTAAAAGAAGCTCTTGGTGAGCTAGGATTTCATGCCAAGTCAGTTATTAATATAATTAATAGGGACAAAACAGGTTAGGTTATACCGGCGATCCCTAGTGGATCCGCTTAGGCCTATTGGCCGATTATGCTACCGTATATATAGGGTGAAAACTCCGGCTTTAAAGCCACCTAGAACCATCTAGAAGCCACCTTTTACGAAGCATAAAGTGCTACTTAAAGTCAGGTCCTGTAACTGGTCCAGGTCTTCAAGGAAGCGGGCTTCTAAAGTATTACGTCGCCGTCGAGCATGAGCTAGGCAAAAACACAAAAGATGAGAGGCAGATTTGATTGAAAGGAAGACCTAGTCTTCTAGCATGGTTCCCTAGTTTACAGTGTCCTGTAGTCAAACCTACCAAAAGACTAATGTCTCTGCGGGACATCTCAATTAGAGTTTTTGAATCCTTTTGTCGGAAAGTGGCCAGATTGCATACAGATCCCTGCATAACGTTGAGTCTTCCCATCTTTTGTTAAAAATATTAGTACAGAAAGTACTCAATAACAATTTACATGATGTTAGTGATATGCTCAGATAGTCTTGGTGTTTCGAGTATGGTCCTAAAGCAACCTTTCTGGCTAGCTCATCTGCTTTGCAATTTCCGAAAATATCCCTATGGCCGGGGACCCAGGTTAGAGAAATATTAAGCTGCGTCGACATTTCGTTAAGAGATGTGTAGCAGTCAAAAACCTTCCTAGACGTAAATTGAACTGAACTCAAGGACTTTAAAGCGGCTTCACTGTCTGATAATATGTATATATTTCTGCCAAACATATCATCTACATTCAAACAAGCTATAGGTTCCCTTATGGCGATCACTTCCGCCTGAAAGACACTGCAATGATCTGGAAGCCTAAAGTAGGAAGATTTATTCAATTCCTCTGAGAAAACTCTGCCTGACGTCCATACTTCTCTAGATGGAAATTCGACTTTAAATTTTCTATTAAAGTAGAAAGTGGGTTAGACGTAATCAATGTTTCTACATCTCTCCACATTTTTGTGTCCAATTGTTTAGGATATTAAGACCGTTTTGTAAAATATCCCTAAGAGTGGTAGTACATTTTCCGGTGAGTGTTATCGCAATATCATCCGCATATGCAATAGTTTTGCAACCTTCTGCCTTCAGTTTTATTAGCAGTTCATTCACCACTATGTTCCAAAAGTGAGGGGAAAGTACTCCTCCTTGGGAGGTACCTCTATTCACTCTTCTGCGTGTTGTAGAAGAGCCCATCGTTGCTTCAACGAGTCTGTCAGTTAGCAGCTGATTTATATAGCCAATGAGCGCATCATCAACACCCAGATGCGAGATCACGCTTACTCTTGCACTCGGGAGTATATTGCTGAAAGCCCCTTCAATATCTACGAAAGCAACCATACAAAATTCTTTAAGTTGAATGGATTTTTCTATTCTAAATGTGAGGGAGTGAAAAGCTGTCTCCGTTCATTTTCCCTTAGTGTAGGCGTAATATTTTAATAATACTGATAATAGGTATTTGGTAATACTCGAAACAGCTGTATGGCCAGCAAAATATTCAATTAATTAAAATATAAAAATAATTTTGTTGTTGTAGTTCATTACTTTTCGAAACCTCTCTAATACTCGTAATAAAAATTGTGTTGAATTTTCGTACACTGCCCTGTTTCTATAACAAATTTCTTAAATAAATTTAATTGTAGGAAATAAATTAAAAATTTATTTTTTTATAAATTACTGATGAATATTTGTGGCTGTTCTTGTTTGAAAATTTTATTTTTCACAGCTCAAGTTGTTTTTTATGTTTGTCAAAACTTGCACCTATAATTTCCATATTAAATTCAAAGCAGCGTTGAATAAGTCAATAGACTTAAGAGTTAAGAATTAGTACTTGCTTATTTCGCAAATTGTTACATGGTTTTTTTGAAAAATTTTGTAAGATAAATGTAACTAAACCCTTCACGCTTAATCAAGGTTAACTCGAATATTAGTTTGGCATGGGCGACTTTGTCTTTGTTAGCGCCTTCTTAAATTTTCCTCAACATTATGTCTATAGAGCTCTAGTATGTGTCTTATAGTACGTTTGCACTGCTTACTTAGTAAGCTAAACATACTGAGTAAATTTTATTAACCATACAAAGAGTTTCCGTGCTATTTCACTTACCATGGAATATAGTAAACAAAATTTGATCAAAATTATACCAAAAATGACGAATGCAACATTGGAAATGATGGAAATTTGACATATTTGACACATGAAACAAAATGTAAACATAATAAACAATCAAAATTCAAAACAAACAACAGGTAGCGCACTGCAATTATCCAATTGCTGCTTCAGTGACGAGTTTTCATAAATATAAGAGTAATTAACTCATCCAGGATGCAACTGATGTAAAGAAAACGGTGTCTGTAAACATGTATGTATGTTATCGCATGCTCTCACTTTGTAGGGTAAGTATAAAACAGAAAGTTATTTTGTAAGAGAAAATATAGAGAACAAGTAGAATTTAAATTACGATCTGAGCAAGCCTTGAATAAAAAGCTTTATTTGTAAGCTCAGATCATTTGAATATAAAAGCAAGAGCATCGCTCACTTTGTTGGATTTTGTCGGCTAAGCGTTTTAGAGTAAATATCGTAATATGTAGAACGTTGAAGTTTTCATTTTTAGTTTTAAGTTAGTTTTAAGTTTTCATTCTTTTGTACGGTTTTAAGAGGGTTAGAAGCGAATTCTACCCATTAATAAATATATCTTTTTTAAAACACATAACCGAACACGAATGAAATAATTGGCGCCCGAGCAGGGACACTCGTCACAATTGCAGAAAACATAAAAAGTACGCGACGCGAGTGTAAAATATAAAATTCCTGCAATATATAACACCCGATAACAAAGGTGTTTGCAGTGGATTAAAAACTAACAAATATCCCAAAAAAGGAGAAAAGAAAACCTTGATAAAAAGTGTTATTCGGAAAGTGATCAAAGTGCTATTTGAATAAAACATTTGGTGGATTATAAAGTGAATAACAAAGTGGTGAAAAATTAAAAGTAACCCAAAAATTTTTAAATCACAAAAAGCCAAATTCAATAATAAAGAATCGCGCGGTCACAAGCACTAATTTCAAGACATTAAAATAATTTAATAAGAAAGGGACTTTATATAATCAGCCGCTTCGAATAAATTATTTATCTGCTGCCAACTGGAGCCGAAGAAAAGGATTCTTGGACAGCATAGAACCCAACCATCAACTACCAAGTATCCTCATAAAAGAGGAGAAGAAATTTAAAAAAAAATATATAATAATAAAAACAATAAATAATAATAATAATACATAACTCAGGATGGGAGAAATCATAAGCGACGAGGAAGCCCGCAGGATTCAACTGTTGATACAGGAATCAACCGATCGGGAGAATCGGAATTTGGACGATGATCACAAAGCCATCCTAGAGCAACTACGAAAGCGATCAGCAGCCGCTAAGGTAGATCGACATTTGAAAAATCAAATTTTGGACGAAGAACGCGAAGCCATCCTAGAGCAACTACGAAAGCGATCAGCAGTCGCTAAGGTAGTTCGACATTTGAAAAATCAAATTTTGGACGAAGATCGCGAAGCCATCCTGGAGCAACTACGGAAGCGGTCAGCAGCCGCTAAGGCAGATCGACATTTGGAAAATGTCTATGGTCCCAGAACTGGCCCGGACGCTCGCTGAAACCAGCCATTGGCTCCGAGTGTCACAAGGTTTTTTTGAAGCCTTCTCAAACCGAAGTTGTCCAAACCAATAAATGGAAAAACTAAAATTAATAATTAAAAAAATAATATAAAAAACATACTGTATAATAAAAACGGAAAGTGTCTACAACAACTGATGTGCATCACAAAGAAATCGAATTCAACAACAAATAGAATAATAACACCACAGATGGGCTACAGGTGAAAACTATAAGGCCTTACAACAACCCAACATCATCACCCTCAACATCACCATTTGCCACATTTCTTAACGAATTGGTGGAGGTATTTTTCTTTTTATATTACCAATAACCAAATTTCCCTATTATTAAAAAAAATAAAAACAACAAGTTTTTTAAAAGTTTTAAGAAATTAACATATCTAAATAAATTTCTTTCCAGTATTAATAGTATTAATGTTACAGAAAATATATTTTTTTTTGCAAGAAATTAATAATTTTTAATAATACCCTAGTACATTTAGATTAATAAAATATTATAAAAAATATAATAATCATGCAAATAAATTAGAGTTTCAAATTAAATTTTTGAAATTTTCAATATACATTTTAAAATAATTATATGTATAAAGTATTACAAAAAATTTTATTATCGATGTTTAATACCTACAAATACAATATATATATTTCATAATTGATAAACATTTTTCTATAGATATTAAATTTTGTAGCGATTTTCCCTAATAATAAGGAAAAACGGTTTAAAACTATAATAAATTTTTTAAAACTTAACATAAAAAATACATAAGTCTAAAGTTTTGAGGAAATATATCTAATAGATTTTAAGCAATGAATAAATTCAACTCATTGAAGTAATATTATTTTTTAAAATTAATCCACTTTTTAGTGATAGAAAATTATAAAAAATACAGCATTACAAATGATTTATTAATTATAAAAATTGTTAATAAAATGAAGAATATTGTTTATAGAAGTTATAAATTTATTATTTAGCAATTATAAACTATAATTTAGCTATTATAATTATACCTCATAATAAGTATGAAAATTAAAAGTAATATTACACAAGTAAAGATGAACTTGGGTACTTCAATAATAGTTTACACTTATATTATATAAAAAGAAATAAAACGTAATATAAATATTTTAATTTCCCACTAAAAACATATTCGTGTTGTTATTTAAACATATATATATATTAGATTTTCCTAAAAGGAAAACCTGAACACAATTTAATAATATTAAATAAAAATATGTATTACACTACTAAATATGTTATACACATATTTGATATTAATTTCATATCACCCTACGTGACTAATTTTTGCATAAATTATGTAAAAATTCCAAAATAAAATTCTAATAGAAGTCAAAATTGAATTAATCTTTGAAAATAAATATTGAATGGCAAATATAATACAAGTATAATAATCTCTTAGTTTAGATTAACCACTATGAAGAAAATTAGAAATTAAAAATAACAATAAACATTTTATAACATTGGTTTGATAATAATAAAATAAAGAAGAAAAATAATATAATAATTAATAATATATATTATTATAATATATACAAAATAAATATATTTAAATAAAAGCAGAATTTTAATAACATAACTGAACTAATTATTATTAATAAAAAATTTCAACAAAATTAAAATCAAAAAATAAGTATATATACGATATAAAAGAAATAATATGATGAAAAATAAAGATCCTAAACGAAACCCATGACAACGACTGAAGTTTACCGACTTTCCCCAACGACTCAAAATTAAATAAATTAAATAATATTCCGGGGCAAAACAAGCCTGGAAAGCCAGCCGATGACAATACCGGAAAAAGGTAAAAATAAATAAAAATAAAAGGAAAAATATCGATATAAAAATATATAAAAGAAATATATATATATAAATATAAAGGTATCCACCTTGGGATAAAGAATATCCTAAGGCGCCAGCCGAAGAATTTACCGGCAATATAAGAAAATAGTTATATAAAATACATAAAGATACCTCCTTGGGATAAAAAAATCCTAAGGCGCCAGCCGAAGAAATTACCGGCAACATATTCAATGAAAATTTTAAAATAAACATTGATAAATATATTACCTTGGAAAAAACCCTAAAGCTGAGCCGAAGCAACTATCGGCAATATATAAATCATGAATCAATTCCAATATTATTTTGCATGTGAAGAATGAGGCTCCTTAGTAGCTTTATTAAAATAAAGAGGAAAAGGGGATACATTTAGTATCAGCCACTTCATTGTATTATAAAAAGAAAGCGGGAACTCGAACAATTGGTGAAACTCCTATATGGAGTAAACAATGTTCATATCTAACTTTCGTGGAGGATTTCATAACAATAATATATTAAACCCTAATGGACAGAATAAAAACAAGTTAGAAAATGTATTATTTTAGCTAGACCCACAGCTACTGAAGACTTTTCTGCTACCATCAAACTGTCTCTATAATAATTAAGGTATCCAAGAGTAAATGAATAAATTAAAAATTCCAATATTTCTAATAATAAATATTCCCTATTTAAATTACCGAGTTATATACGAACTTGACGATCAATGACTATGACTAATGACTTCATATAACAAGAAAAAATACAAAAAAAAACAAAAAGATATATATAAAAAAGATAATAATTAAGTAAAACAATTAATTAAGCAGTAAATACAATACAATGAATAAATCCTTTTAATTTATTTTAAAGAAATTAGTTTATAATGTTATCATATTGTTACACATATGATAGCATCTATATTTGACTTCATAAAATATTCGATATATATAAAATAATATTTATAACATACACATAAAATAAAATAGAATATACGAAAACATATAAACATATAAAAAACAAATTATTTATTACATTATTAAAACTTCCTGAACCTAATACAGCAAAGACATATATTGGTGACACTACATTCTCAAGAATCCCATTATAACTAATAAAAATATCTTAATTAGAATAATTATGCGATACAAATAAATACTATATATTTTATATTTGACCATAAATTTAAGCGCATTCTTGAATACACAACTTCCCACACGAATAAAACTAAGAAATCATTTATAGTCAATCACACAATAAAACTGAAAAATGTATAACCAACAGACATAACAACATATTATTTTAACATACTAAAAGAAAATAAAATATAAAAAAACGCACCAATTGGCGAGGCCCCAATTCTTAGGAAAGATATGAAACTGATATGAAATGAATTCTTATGAAAGGTACTGATATGAAACAATAATTTTTTTTTTATTTTATTTAAATTAATTAATGTTTAAATTAACTAATGTTAGTAACAAATATATATAATATGAATCTGACAGAGATTCCGAAAATTATTTAATGAAGTATTTTTAAAAGCTAATTTAAAATTATATAAAAATTAATATATTTCTTTTTCTTCACTTAATTCACAGAACTGTAACGTTTATTAAATTTTTAACTTCCAATTATAGTACATAAATACTTAAATCTTAGTTTGTCATTTTGAAGAAAACATAGTAACGAACCACTTAGATATTGTGCCTAACCAATAAATAACTTATAGAAGCCTAACGATCCGTTTATAAATTTCTTTCATAGTACTAGTTATCATTTACTAATAAACAAATCTTTGTCAAATTTTAAAATAGATATAATAACTACGACTGACCGAATATATGGTCAAATATTTGAATATCTTTACCATAAAAAAATTATAAGCTTACTAAACATTTTCAAAAACAAATGATTGTAACTACTAATTAAGTTTTACATAAAAATTCATGAAAACAGCAACAAACAATTAACAACCAACTCATTAATATTTAAAGCTCTATTTAGTATGGAAAAAATGATTCAAAATTTTACAAAACTCAGATTTAATAGTAATACATATTACATATCTAAATTAAACGAAAAACAATTGTAATTAATAATCATGTAAAGATGAACCATCCAAAATTTTAAGATAATAAAATATATTGTAAATCATAATGAAGAATTTAAACTTGAAAAACCGAAACATAATTTCAAGATCAACGCAACGCTTTATTACCTCAGCAGCAACACTCTTGGAAACAATCATCATCATCGTGCACGACAGTCATAAACTGAGCAGACGCATAAAACAGTCCAGACGTAAACAAATTTTTCAAAACCTAGACGTAAACAATAGTAGTGCCAAAAAAGTAATTATCCGTTACTTTGTATTCGTTACTCAAGAAATACCGGAGTAACGAATACAAACTTTTTATTGTATTCGTTACTTTTACTCATTTTACCAATGAGTAGTATTCGTTTTACCTACTCTTTTGAGTACTTGGTAACGATTACTTTCAACAGCTGTTTTCGCGGTTTAATAACAACTACTTTATTCAAAAATTTTGTTCGTTTTCAAATTTATTAAAAATGTGTGAAAATATTAATAATAAAAAAAGTGAAATTTGGATTCATTTTGAACCAGTAGGAAGTAAAAAAGCTAAATGCAGATTATGTGGAACAAACTATTCAATAAAAGGTGGTTCTACTTCAAATTTGAGAAAGCATTTAAACATTAAGCATCCCACGGTCCTAAGCGCCGTTAATCGGAATCGTGAAGTAACGAAACCGCAGTAACGAAAGCGCAGTAACGAATACTGAGTAACTAATACTGAGTAACGAATACTGAGTAACGAATACATACTCGAAAAGTAACGGGTAGGTACGAATACCCAAAAGTAACGAAGTTTGGCACCACTAGTAAACAAAATTCTTCAAAACACACAAACGTAAACAACCCGATGAAACCATTGCAAAAATCAACCACCAAATAAATCAGCAAGCAACTTCAAAAAGGAAAAAACAATAGACAGCCACCGCATAAGAGCAGCTACTTTATCTCATCTAAAGAAACGGGACGTTTCTCTTTAAGAAAGAGGGGTGTTATCGCATGCTCTCACTTTGTAGGGTTAAGTATAAAACAGAAAGTTATTTTGTAAGAGAAAATATAGAGAACAAGTAGAATTTAAATTACGATCTGAGCAAGCTTTGAGTAAAAAGCTTTATTTGTAAGCTCAGATCATTTGAATATAAAAGCAAGAGCATCGCTCACTTTGTGAGATTTTGTCGGCTAAGCGTTTTAGAGTAAATATCGTAATATGTAGAACGTTGAAGTTTTCATTTTTAGTTTTAAGTTTTCATTCTTTTGTACGGTTTTAAGAGGGTTAGAAGCGAATTCTACCCATTAATAAATTTATCTTTTTTAAAACACATAACCGAACTCGAATGAAATAATTTGCATGTTTACCCGTTTATTTAATTTTGTTTATTTTATATATGAAATTAATATAATACTTGTCTAAAATCGATCAGAGCAAATAGAACTGTCGAATACCATCCTTTGTAGTTATATTAGTCAATAGCATTTTTGGACTGTAGTTTTACTTCAATGTGACACCTGTCTTAAATATTGACCATAATTCGTATATGTCACTAATAGTAAATTAAGAACTTACACATTGCACCCAAGCATTGTGGAAAACCCAAGCTTCGAGTCTGCTAATGCACTCTTTCACCCTTTCGCTATTTAATGGCAAAACATTCATATATTAAGGCAAAAGAGTTTTCCACACTTCTGCACAAAATTCTTTCAAATACTTACAGACTGTGTCCTTTCCAACACTAAAGTCCAGCACTTCCTTTGTTTTCTAGTAATCATTGAGGAAAGCACTATCATTAGTTGATTTTGAATAATTTGTAATTTTTTATATATTATTGTATGTTATTTTGTATTTGCAGCAACTGCTCTTTATTGTGAACAATATCACACAATATATATTAAATTATTTAAATTTTCTGCGTTTTCCATGCTGATTTATTTTCTTCTAACAATACAAAATTTAATGTCATCTGTTTACAATTAAAATATAAACACAGAAAATCTCTAAAATTAAATCTTTTTCACTCATAAAAGCTCTTTCTCATTCCTTAAGTAGCTTGTGATAATGTAAACGCAAAAAGCTCAATGTTACTATATGACTTACTAAGTAAGCAGTTGAAACGTAGTATTTAACGTTGTTCAGGAATCGCTTCTGTTCTCTTTCACGTTGTATAGTCATTTGGCGTGTTTGTTGGTGAATATTTGCTCATTTTGGCAGCATTATTTTTTATTGCAAAATTATTCTTCTTTTGAGAACACAACATGGTGAAGAAAAAAATTTTAATTCACATAAAATTCTCTCAAAAAACATTAAAAGATTACTCCCAAACACTGAACAATATTGAATAAACAAATCAATTGAATTTATTTAATTAATTAATTATTAATAAAAACGGAAATTTAAATAACATTTACACAAACAAACAAAAAGACATAATTTCAAACGAAACTAACATGATCACGAAACAGGTATCAAACAACATGATTTCGGAGAACATGATTTCAAAGAAGCACCCAAATGAGCTCAAGTTATATTTTTTATTTTAGAAGAACCAATTTAATAACTCCGACTGCAGCTACAACAATCACACAACGAACAAAAAAAACGATTTCCCTCAAGATAAGATATCAAATCAAACCATTCTCAATAATAATACCACCTCTGTTGGCAACAACTGGAATATAGTTTCTAATCGCAAACATGGTTAGACGCCAGAATTTATGAACTCTGTTGCTGCTACAGTTACAAAAATTAATTTTACATCCAATTACACCCATTACTCCAACACAACAAATAATAAACAGATAGGCATTGATCGCTACTTTTCGATATTAAATAAACGTAAATCTTCTTTCGCAAATACAAGTATCTGCTAAAGATCACTACAAGTAACTAGATATGAAACAGTTCTATTCGTATCAGCTGAAAAGCAGCAAAGATCTGTCAGTTGTCATCAACTATTGAGCTATTGAGCCAGGTCTAGATATAGGGGAAATTCAATCAGCTTTAGAGGAAAAAAGTTTCGTGCTCAAAAGTATTTATCATATACATAGAGAAAGTATCCCACAACCCCTATATAAAGTTGAGTTGAATTATGATGAAAGCAATATATTCTTCACAATATCTACTTCACATAGAAATTAGCGTTGAGCAGCCGCACAGGCGAAGTGAATGAGTACAATTCTTAAATTGTAACGAGTATGGTCAGACTAAGACCTATTGCAATCTCAACAGTGCATGTGTTATTTGTGTAGAATTACACCCTACTGAAAGTTGTCCAAAAAGCAAACAAGATGTTAAAGTCAAGATTTGCTCGAACTGCACACGAAATCATACAGTCAACTATTTATCTAGGCATCTTTGTTTGATTGAAATAAATTAAATGCGTTCAAGTAACTTTTACTCTAAAGAGTGAAACATGCCCTGCATTTAAAATCAATCATTTGGACATAGCTCAATCATTCTGTAAAGTATCTGGGAATTTATCTAGATAGAAGGCTCACGTGGACATTCATATTGAAGCCAAAATTGCCAATTTAATCTTAAATATAAGAAATTGTACTGACTTTAAATATAGAAAAAATCTAGAGAGTACAAAATAAAATTTTCCGACAGCTACGTGGTATGTGAAAAACAAAAACTTACTCAAAGACCTAAATCTACCAACTGTTAAAAAAGTTATTTGGATTCGCATCTAACTCCTCATGTTCGACACTTATCTTCTGCAACTGCACTTAATAGTTTTAACAGAAAATCATTGATACATATTAATAGCCTAGCTCAATAGCATACATATTAGTTTTTTAAAATTTGCAAAATTATTGCCAATTTCTAGAAAGACTCAATAAAAAAACCAATGAAAGAAAAGAAGAAAAACAAATGAATAAAATTCCCATTTTACTATTCAATAGTTTATTAAAAAGAGGTTTTTTCGAACAGTAGTGAAATACAACAACAAAAATTTATTTTTTATATTATTTTAATTAATTGAATTTTTGGCTGACCATACAGCTGTTTCGAGTATTGCCAAATACCCATCATCAGTGGTCTTGGAAATAATTCTTGTATTTGATTATTCGTAAATAATTATTTTTTGAGACTGCAAGTACCAGGAATTGAACTAGTTTATTAAAAAAAGAAAATTCAGTGAAAATCACTATCTATATATAGATGTCTTGTACACCAATATTTTTTATTTTTTTTTATTTATTCTTAAACAATCATCATGATTGTTTGTAGGGTGAATCTAAACAATCGCCTTTGCAACGAATGTGTTTTTTCGACAATTGTACTAATTTGATTTGAGTCAAACATGAGTGAAGAAAATATGGAGAAAATTGAATTGCAAAATGCTTATATTTCATACAAAAAACCTCAAACTGCAACACTGAAGTAAAAATGAAAAACTATAGCAACTCTGGTCGCCATTTTGATGTGAGAAAGTTACCGTGTAATGAAAACAGCAGCGGAAAAGATTTATTAAATAATTTGTAATAAAAATATTGTCTTCATTATTGCAATTAAATACAATATAGTATATATATATTTTGGTATACCGAAAAAAGAAAAGTAGTGAAAATTTGGTTGATAAAATATTTATACTCAAGTGACAAAAACAAGAACGTGAAAATTTCGCGTAAGAATTAAAAGTAAACTAAAGTGAGATAAATTACTGAAATAATACGGAAGCTATCTGAACAAAAAAAACCAACTTAAGCAATAAAGCAGTTAACACAGAAAACTCTTACAGTTCAAAAAATTATGACAAAACTATTTGTTGCCTTAATTAATTATTAAAACAATAATACGTAATAATTAAAAAATAAAATATTGCGGCTTGCAGAAACGCATATAAACCATCACTTAAAAATCGTATGCAAATTATAGACAAAGAAAAATTCATACAATAATTTGCTTGTTTGTGTATGTGTATTGAAAGCAATTATAAGGTGTTGAAAGTAAAAAGTGAAAAAATTACAACAGTTTGGCCACAACACCATGAACAACAATAAGCGTAAAAATCGGCCAAGCGTCGTTACCAGGTAAGGGATCCGCAAAATTAGTCTTAAGTTGAGTTATGTTTGCCTTGCGACAACTTGAACAATTTGTATCATCATGATGGACTTTGCCACGTATTTGATTTGAGAACAAATAAATGAATTAGGGTTATTGATTTAAAATGTTGTCTATGTTAGCATCGTCGTTTTCTACATTTATCATATTTTTAAATATTATATAACAAATCTTAAAAAGCATGTGCTTTATTATTTACAAATAAAAATTTTTTTTATATTTTACCTTTTAACAATAATGTTATTGGTATATATGTAGATATATATAGTTTTTGTTATGTATGTATTTTATATACATATGTCAAGTATGTCTCCCGTATGACAGAAATTAAATCAAGACATCCTTTCTGATTAAAAAGTTTCCAAAACTATAAGCTCGAAAATGATGTTATTTTTCCAACAAATTCCATTGAATGGGGTTTTATTGCTTATTATATATCTACCGTCTAAACACTGGTATGGTATCAAAGGAATTGGATATGATTATTAAATAACGTCGACGCTCTATATCTTATATTAGGTTCGTCCAACGAGCTACTCGTAGTAACTTTAAATGACACTGTGTATATACAAGTGCGTTCCACTAGCAAATTTTACTCGTGTTTTACTACGAGTATCTCGTGGAGCAGATTTATTATGTATATATCATTAATATGTCATGAAAAAGCATTAGTAAAAGTATAGGAGTATATAATTTGCTATTGTGGAAATTTTACAGTAATTTGACTGACATTAAAAACAATCTGCTGTAATTAATAACATAAATAACACATGCATAAATACTCATTTTAGATATCAGACAGATAATAGACAACCTAAACCGAATCCATCTCCTCAGGGCGTATATAGTAACGCATTTTTCATGCATGCTGCTACAGCGCTTGTAGGAAATGTTGTACAGCTTCGACTACGTTCCGGAAACATATACGAGGGAGTTTTTCGTACATTTTCTTCTAGTTTCGATGTAGCGTTAGAGTTGCCTACTTGCATCAAATCTTTAAAAAACGGGCCTGATGAAGGAAAAAATGTTCCAAACTTTATGATATTTCCGTATGACACAGTAGTTAGCATCACTGCTAAAGATTTTGATTCGAATTATGCAACTGTGGGTGCATTTCAAACAGATGCTGCCATTTCAGAGAAGTGTAATGGTAATATATTATTTTAACGTCGTCTCATCTAGAATGAAAATGTTTTACTTTAATGCAGGTACTCGTTTTGAAGAGAAAGAACTAGAACCATGGGATGGTTCTGGTGCTAACGGTGATATTGACATTGAGCTAGACGATGCGGCCAATGGTTGGGACCCTAATGAAATGTTTCGCAAGAATGAAAATCAATTTGGTGTGCAATCGACTTTTGACGATTCGTTGACTTCGTATACAGTGCAATTGGATAAAAAAGATTCAGAAGAATATAAAGAGGCAGAAGCAAGAGCAGAGAAACTTGCAGCTGAGATTGAAAGTAATCCATCTTGTCGAGAGCGGTTGGATTTAGAAAATGGTGATGAAGAAGCACTATTTGCGGCTGTAGAGCGTCCTATTTTAGAATCAGAGCGTGATCGTGAACGTGAAAGAGAACGTGATGCAGAAAGAGATCGGACAGCAAGAGTAGATCGTGCTAGAGAACTGCAAAAGGAACGAGACCGTGAACTGGAAAGAGATAAACGTTATTTTGAACAAACGCCGACTGAACGATACATTAGTAAACAGACTCGTAATAATACGGGTCCGCCACCACCAGTTGTAATGACAAGTAATGCATCCTTAGCGTCATCCTCACGAGGACACGAACGTGATTTGATATCTGATAGAACAGAGCGCTCAACAAACTCGATTTCTGCTGGCAATGTGCCTCATTCCGCTCAGTCATCAATTAACATGAATGTAAAAAGTAGTTTACCTCAGTCACCAATCGGTGTAATACAAGAAAATTCAAATAAATATGGAGGTAGTGGAAGTTCTTTAATAAAGCGTAAACCAGTTTCTCAAAATAATAAAGTTGTTCGTAACACTCCTCCGCCAAATAATTCGATTGGGGGAAACAATAGTAATGGTAACAATAATTTATCACAGAATAATAACGGAAGCTGTAGTAAAGGCAGTAATTATCAATCTTTGTCTATGCAAAATCAGTCTTATCAAAATTATCCACCAATACTTCACGGGTAATTATTTTCATTTCATATATATTTGCAGTTTTATTTTGGTATATTTATATACATTTGTTTTCGTTAGTCAATCACAATATAGAAATCAAAATCATATGGGCATGCCTCCAAAAATTAATGGTGAGAGTAATATTAGCACTGGAAAACCACTGCCTCAACGTAGCATACGTCAATACCAAAATACACAGTCTAATACTTCAAACAATTATGGAGAATCACAAAATCAAGTAAGATAATATTTTATTTTCGAATTCATTATTAAAAACCTAAAATTATAATATTAGATCCAAGCAAATAAGCAGCTGCACTCCACACATGTTACATATCATGTGTCGCAAACGAGTGGTAACATAAATAATAGTGTTTCGCCTCCACTTCAAACAAGCGGCAGTAGTGTATCTCATGCCCATAATCAAAATAATGTTGTGCCCTGTCCACCAAACCAAGGACTTCAAACACAACGGCAAATACGCAATCGAGAAACTCAATTGCAAGATCTTCGACAATTTGGACAAGATTTTCAACTAGCTGGTAATAATTCTTCACCACCACAACAGACTCAACAACCGCTTCAACAGCAGCATTTGTCGATAAACAAAAGTGTGGCTGGTCATCAGCCACAACCATCCGCTTCTCCTCCACAACAATCTCCTCATGTGTCTCATATACAACATGTACCACAACATCATTCAACACAACATCATGTAACAGTTGCACAACATGTCCATGCAGCTCCGCAAACACATTACATATCATCACCAATTGTGCAACAACAGCAACAACATGAGGCACCAACTCATGTTCAGCAACAACAACAGCAAAAACACAACGATAACGTTATTCATTCGTCTAAAGGTCCACAACATATTTCTAATAGTGTCTCTCAACAACAATCGACACAGCAACAAGGTCAGATAGTGCAAGAATTACCACAACAACCTCAAGGATTGTATCATAGTGTGCCGCCTTCAACACAACAAAAACAGCAAATATCACCTGTAGTGATGACTTCTATAGAAAATTCACAGCATACAACTAATGCAATGCAACCACAACAAACACAGCAACAGCAAGGGCAACAACAACAACAACAACAAACGCAACAGATAAGCAAAGCTGATCCATTAGTTTCTTCAAACATTACTCAAACAACTAGTACTAATACAGGAAATACATCATTACCTGTATCTGAGAAGTCACCACCACCCACAAATATTTCAGTTAGTACAACTGTTGTTAAGAAACATGTGTTAAATCCTTCTGCAAAACCATTTACACCACGAAGTCCGAGTACTCCAAATCCATCACGCCCACATACACCGCAAACGCCTATTCCTATGACTGGTATATATACAACTGGTGCACACGTAGCTGCTACGAATCCTATTTACGTAATGCCTCAACAGCCAACAACATTCCCACCGCACCCGCAACAGCCACGAATGCGTCGTAGCAATTTTGGTAAATCACATGGTTTTTTATACAAATATTCTAAACAACGTAATGTGTTATATAAATATTTATGGGTATATTTTATATTTCAGCACCAATGGCATCTTCACATATGCACGTTTCAGCAACCGCTGCTACAGGGCAACCATTATTGGCTACAACACAAATACCACAGTTCATTCATTATCAACAAACTCCACATGCGCCACCTTTCCAATCTCAAACGTTCGGACCTATGGTGAGTTTCATTCAGATGTTTAGGACGAATATCCAATTTACAGAAAAAATTGACATAAGATTCCATTTCATAATAAAAATGTTTCACGGAATTTTGACATTGTAGGTATTTTTTTTTATATGAAGATTTATGTCAATTTTTCGTGCGAAATAGACGATAGTACTCGGCTTAACAAAAAACTGAACTCGATTAAAGCAGGGTTCGTATTTGCTCACTCATGAGAAGCTCAGGCTCATGAGCAAGAGCCAATTCTAGTGTGAGCCCAAAATTGGCTCATATTGAAGAGCTGCTCACCAGCGTGAGCCTTCAAGTTGCTCATATTGAAGAGCTGCTCATGAGGTCTCACGCGCTCAACTGTTTAATAAAAAGCTATTTATTAGTTTATTTGCTTTATTTATTTTTATAAACATTATATGTGAAAATATATAATTTGAAATTAACTTAGCTTATTATTATTTATATTAACACAATATAATGAAACAATAATTTGAATTTGAAAAACAAATTTATAAAATATTATTTTCCACAAATAAACAATACAAATATATTTGTTTATTTTGAGAACTTTGATTATTTCCATATTATAGTTTGTTCAAGGTTATTAATATTTTAAATCTTTTTTAATAACATTTGTTTAAAAAAAAAATAATTATAAAATCTTAAATTGGGCGCATGAGATCTCATGAGCCGCAGCTCATACTCTTGCTCACGAGCGTGAGCCCATTTATAACCTAATGGCGGCTTTTGTCGTGAGCGTGAGCCATCGTATTAAAAAAGAGTTTTTATCCGGCTCATGAACCGTGAGCAGAATGAGCCAAAATGAGCCGCTCATGGGTACGCAAATACGAACTCTGGATTAAAGTACTTCATTTTTATTCCTCAATATCATTTGTAACATAATGTTTCAACATAAGTATTTAATATTTAATCCAAACATAATTTTGTGTAAAAAAATACTAATTCATGGGTTAATATATATATAGGGGTGAGAAGGTGAACTGAGAAAAAGAAGTGTTATTTGGGATAAGAATTGGATGAATGTGGGGTTGGTGAGTCTTAGTTAAAACTGATCTGAGTCGAGGCGATGGAACCTGGTTAATTCAAGGGGCCAGAGCTAAAGAAATAGTAGCAACCCTACATATGCGTATTTCTTGAATTACTTTAAATTTTATTTTTCGCTTAAAAACAACTTTTATTTTTTATTGCAATAAAATCTAGACTTAGTTGCAGTTATGATAACTATGTATAGAACTTTTGTCAAATTCTGTTTGATGGAGTTAATGACAAAACGTTAAAATTAATATTATAAATATTGGAAATTGAAATGATGACTCGTCGTTTATGAATATAGTTTTTGCAAAATAGTTTATTAACGTAAAAATAAATTATTATATAAGTTAACTCCCGGCTCTTGGTCGTCGAAATTGACGAGTGGCTACAGGACATAGATCCGGCCGTTATTGGAACCTTTAGAAGTGCTCTTGTCATCAGCAATAGATTTCTTAATTTCTATATATATTCAATGTTCAATGAAGCCTGAAATTATTTACATAAACTAACAGACTTACCAATACTACGTTATCAAATCTCAGAATGGTTACAGGCTCCTCGGGGAGGTATGCAGATCTAAGATCAATTATTGCTTAGTGTGATGAAGTGATAAACAATAATCCAGTCAAGGCGTAAAGAGGGGTTTTGAAAATACCTCGAGTTAAGAAAGAGTAAAAGTGCTCAAGTGCACTTCATAAAGTGCTCAAATAGCTTCAAAATAATAATATAACTTTGTTTATTGTTTTAGTGGCACATTTTATTATATAATATCAGATCCTATTTACAAACTCATCTTGTATTAATAAATTAATATTTGTTTTAGGTGCGTATGTTTCCTGAACAACCGCCACAGCCACTACAGTTCATTACGCAAACGCCTCCATCGACTACTCCATCACCGGGGCAACCGCATCAATCGTTCCATCCGCCACCTCAACCATCCCCTGCTGGCGGGGGACCGCAACCAGCATATGCACAGACACAGCCAGCATACCAGATTGTGTGTCCTGTTATACATCCTCAAACTCAACTCGTTCAGAGTCCATATTATCAAACGCCACAACATCCGCCACAAAGTCAACAGTTTCAAATACTAATGCAACAACATCCTGCGCAATAAGCTACAAACAATTTAGCGCTGATTAACAAGAGCAATAATGAATTACAACATAGTACCTAAATTATTTCATCATAAACAAATCATTTAATATTATACTTTCAAATCGCAAGGTAAAATTAAACAAACATTTCAATTCACGTTAAGATTTAAAAGAGACAATATCGATGAACATTTCAATTATTGAAAAAAGAAAAACTTTCCATTTACTTAAATTATGTATTCAATATATTATAACCAATTTGTTTTGAAGTGTACATAAGTTTGCAAAAGCGAAATAGTTAAATAGAAATAATCATTTAATAATTGATTCGATTGATTTGATTAAATATTTAAATATCATTATTAGTATTTTTAAAAACAAACAGAAATTGTAAAATCGAATATATATTTTTGCTAAATCTTAATTTGTGTATTGAAATTGTTAACTGAAGTATTGTTCTTGATGTCGATACATCTATATCCAAGCAAGGATCAACATTTTAAAGAAAAAAAATTTGCTCTCTGTGTTTATTAAATTTTATTATTATTGTTTTAAAGAAATCCAACTAAAATATTTCAATATTGTTTTTTTTTCAAGTGATTTCTGATATTTTTGAAGCCTGCCTTCTATGTTATTCATGATCAAAATTTATTCTGATGTACTTTCTTAAATTCCATAAAAAACGCATAAACATTAAAATTATTTAAAAAGTAAATTTTTAATTATAAAAACAAATAAATACAAAAAACATCAAATCGTTCTTTCTTGAACTTATTAACAATGAAGATCACTTTAATTATTTAGTGTTGCTGAGTTCGTACATAGACATATTTATCTAAATTAGCGTCGCGAATATTAACTAGAAACGTTTCTCGGTTGAGCATTCTTCATCCAAACTCGTCAAAATGGCTGTGATATGATTATTCTTTGAAACAAAAGTCACAAACATTTTAACGACATGGTACAAGAAACTACGCTTAATCGTTATATCTACATACATATTATATAAAATTTTGTGCTAATGAACACACACGGAACTCATCAAAAAGGCTGTGATATGATAGAATTTAAAAGAAAACATTTCACAACATCTTGAAGAGTTTCGTCAGATTCTAATATATTTTATTTGCATCACAACAATTTATCTGAAAGATACCAGAAATAGATTATGTAAAAATAAGATATGGTTGATAACTGTTGACAAAGAAATTGACAATATTAAAAGCTGACTGTGTATCTCTAGCGGAGCTCATACAACATATAAACTGATTTGACAACACTTCTGAAAATACATAATACTACATAATATGTAGGATCATAAATGATTATTTTATAAACAATTTCTACTATAAACACTTGCTGTTAACCAGCACAAAACCAGCGTTGATTACAAAAGTTAAAATGTTAAATTGAAGTCACTTTTATGGAGTCTCGTACTCACATTCTCCAGTCGAACTGAACCTAATTATATGAAAATTTGCCGGTTAGTCTTATTTGTTCGTATCTCTAAAAGTAATATATTAGTAAATATTAATTTTACAAAAGTTAAAATATTAAATTGAAGTCACTTTTATGGAGTCTCGTACTCACATTCTCCAGTCGAACTGAACCTAATTATATGAAAATTTGTCGGTTAGTCTTATTTGTTCGTATCTCTAAAAGTAATATGTTAGTAAATATTAATTTTACAAAACTTCTCTATTATCTATGTGAATAGAAATTTTAAAATCCGATAAGCTTTTGAATGAAATCATTAATAAATTGTTAAAATTGGCAACAAAATCAAAATTGATTTTTATTTAATTAATTACAAAAAAGTAAAAAAATAACCAATTAGAAGTTACATCCAGTATTTTGTCTGTAAATATTATACATTTAATTTTATACTTGTATTTATATTTTATACTTGGTACAATTTACAAGTATAAAATATAATCAACTTTCATTCTGAATACCATTACGGTGTAAGCCCTTTTAAACTGATACTCAACGATAGTCAACTTTTCTTTAGAAGAGGTTTTTTCACTGTATATAATTAGTAAGTTTTTGTTGTTATATGGTTTCAAATAACTTATTTTATAAAAAAAATTAGTATTATTCTTATATATATTGTTTTGATAAAAGCAGTAATTTGTAATTTATTTATTATTCATTAAATGATTTATATGCAAAACTGATGAAATTATATTGTAATAGTCATATTTCAAATAAAAAAATTAATGCTGTATCATCATATAGAATTACTGAAAACATGCATAATACAATAATAATGACGCAGAAGTAATAATCTCCATAATATATCTGTTTTCCATATATTAAGAAATTATATTTATTGCACCACAATGTTTGAATACATTCGTATTATGTAGGAATAGTATATAGAAATTGTTGAGAGTGTATTACGATCACTACAAATTTAATATATTAAATAACAGTTTTAGAAGTGAACTTATTTATTTATGTCAAAATAGAATTTTTAGAATATTATTAGATTTGTTATTATATATTTTAATTTGGATATATTTTAAGCTGAGTATTATTTTGAAATAGTTTAAAATTCAAATATATATTCCTTTCGCGTCTAAATTGAACCACACACCGATATTAACAACTTGTTTGAATTTGAATTTCATGACCAATATACTACACTCAGTAACAGAGGCCGTACATTGGCATACACTCCTCGAGCATTTAGTACAGTTGAGCTTTTTTTTGTACTTCAGATTAATGAGATACAAAAGGATGATTTTTTCTTTATCACAAGATCTGCTGAAATAATAATGGTTCATTTGAATGTATATTAATCGGAACAATGGCATTTGCGATGCTCATCAAAGCTGGCTGTGATACTTTGCGATTTTAAAATATCTATAACAGCCCATTTTGATGACATTGAAAGTGCCTCGATGTTCACTTTTTATTGAACGTCAATTCTTTTTATATATTTACACGTATTTCAACACAATATATGTTAAATTATAATTGTTTATGTATTAATTGAAACTTTTTTGCACATAATTGCAGGGCATCTTATGGAAGAGCGAAAAAAACTACTTTTAATATTCAACGACCACCGCCCTGACCGACCGGCACATAAGATACATTAACATTTTTATACACGTAGTAATAATATAAACAAATTACAAATAAATATTTCAGTAAATTTCTCAAGGGATCTGAGAAATCAATTTTGAACATAATAATTTACTAATATTTTGCAGTATTTTGCAGTTATTTATATAAATTATTAATCACTTATTAAGACATTATATTAAGATTGCATATATTACATTAAAAACGCCTTGAATTCCCGATAGCCGCAGCCCATGAGTTCTTCTGATACCTGAACTTTAAATATTTTCTTTAATTGTGTGTGTACACTAAGTACGTCGGAAGATGTAATATTGTGATATTGTGTGTGTCTGTACTATAAGCAACTAAAACACCCCACTTCCGCACACTATTTCTTATTTTTCCCCCTTTTTGAAAATTATGCATTTTGTGTACCGTGGCAGGGCAGGGTGCTTCTAACCAGTATTAGAGTAATTTTGTGCTCAAGCGCCTTTTCAACTGATTTTTGCCTTGCTAACTTTGTTGAGATTGATTTAAACCTATTAGCTCCACATAACCTTCCTGTATCCTTAATTTTGTATGTATTGATGAAAGTAGAGTTAATATTTTGTTTTCTATATTTTTTTTTAATTATCGTCCACCCTTCTTTTGGGCCACAGCAACTATTATTATTAGTTGTGAATATTAAAAATTAGTTCATTGACACTTTTGCAATTTATTTGATTAAATTTGATTAAATTTGATTAGATTTGATTAAATTTGATTAAATTTGATAAAATGTTTAATGTCAGCTACTGCAACAATTGTGTATATGATGATGTAAAAATTTTCAGTTTCCAGATTTCAGATGGTTTTTTTAAATTTTTATTTGTGTTGAATTGTTGGTTTTAATCTTATATCTTTTGCACAAAATATTCAAGTTTGATAATCCGATCTTCATAAACTATTTCTCGTATTCTTTGTAAATACAAACCATTACCAATAATTTGTTAACCGGTTTTTGTAGTGTAATTTTTACTACTACGTTGTTTGGGCTGGGAGTTTCCCTTAATATATACTTTTTTGTTCATTGTAGTTTCGAATCACAATAAGACATGTTACAATGATAGGTGGTAGTTAATGCAGAATATTTACTTAGCTGTATATTGTAATGCGCATGTCCTTTAAGGAATTTGAATGTATTGTCCTGTAACATAATCGTAAGCAATATACAAATTGTGGTGATTTGTCACTGCTTTTCACCACACTGAAAAACGATAACAACTGTCACTTACACTTACAAGCTTTGTTTAATATCTAACTTGATAGGTGTTATTTATATCTTAATATTTTGAATTTCTTCTGAAGTCTCTAACTGAGTGTAAGTATTGAGCATTTACTAGTTCTGCTTGTACTGAATAAAAACATTAGTGGCGTAAGACTGGGATAATATAATTCCTTAATATACGAATATTTATTTATTAACACTAAAATCCGTAAAACAATGGGTAGAGACGTTACTGATTTATATAAATAGTATGACTGTCGCCATTTAAGTGGTTAAATAGATAAAGTAGAGAAACTTTCAGCAATGAATGAAGCGAATTTAAAAGAAAATGCGATGATTAAACATTTGACTGTTAAACTAAAATGATCCAAGGAAAGGAAAGTGTGAATATTATTGCATTCATTAACAGATCAAAAATCAATCAATGAATCAATGAAGATGGATTGGTAATAAAACAATTAATGACCAGTATCAATTGAATTTAGCCGCAGTTGAATTTAGAGATTAATGGTAAAAGTTAAAATATTCCAACACTTCAAATTAGAAATATTCACACTACGATGAAACAACGGTTACTATGTTAAAACACGTTTCTTCAAGCTGATCAATATCGATATCTGCAGTTATGAGGTAGATGCGTTTCAATTATTATTAGGACACCCTCATGTAAATGTAGCCCGATGTTTGGATGTAATCAGCTTGAGTGAGTTATTTACAGTTCACAAAATGAAACTATGTTCAATTTTGTTTGGTTCTGATGCAAATATCCCTAATAGATTCGTATATCGTATCGATAGACAATTCAATAAGGGAACTACATGATTTCGTTACCAAATATTTTACAGTTTAGAATTCTAGAACAGTAAGTATTATTCAGAAAAGCACCGAACTCGAATGAAGAGGATGTTTCAAATTCAATTAATCTTATGAATATAGTGAAATGTTAGCAGGATAACAATGCGCCAAGGGCAGTGTTGAATTAAAAGTTTTAAAAATGGAATGGAACTCAAAGGCAGACTAATCCTATTTTACTTTTTAGTATCAATTTTTAGAATGCGAGTTGCTTCCTTTGATCATGTTTAGCTGTGTTCAATTTGAAATTTTATCGAAAAAGTTCCTCAAGTCAAAAGCACTATTAGAAAATTTATAAAGAGCGAAAACAGAAGTCGGACATTAGCGTATATCAGGGCTGTGTAAAGCACGACCCTCGGGCTACATGCGTCCCGCGGCTAATGTTTGTGCCGCCCGCGACATATTTTTAATCAACCACAATTACGCAAATTTTCTTTTGGATTACTAGTAAAACCACATTATTTTATTCTTATGGTATATCAAACAAATATGTGTGAATTTAAAGTAATAAAACTAAATTTAACATTATAACTGAATTTTTATTTTTCCAAAAACAACTACGAGTGTATGTATTTGTTTCTACGGCAATTCAGTCTGTACAGTGATTTGTGTTGACCCGCGATCGACAATAAAGTATTTGTGTCTATGTAGTACTTATTGCGGGTAAAACTAGATGTAAACCAATTATATGTTTATATTTATATCAAGATAAGAACTAATGGCATAAGTATTGAGAGTTCGTTTAAAAGATGCTGTCCTATAATCATCCTATAATCAATCCCAAAAAGTGCTGTCGACCGATTCAAAAAAACGTTTTGTTTTTAAAAAAAAAAAATTCCGAAACAGGTATATACGCACAGTTTACAGCGCTAAAACTGCTGCGATTTTTAATACAACAACTGTAGCAGTGAAGAATCGTTTAAGGGTGTCAAATAAAGCATATCGTGAAGACGAAAAACGTTCCAAGTATTCAATTAATGTGTATGCTGATTTCCGAAACAGGTATATAAGCACAGTTTACAGCGCTAAAACTGCTGCGATTTTTAATACAACAACTGTAGCAGTGAAGAATCGTTTAAGGGTGTCAAATAAAGCATATCGTGAAGACGAAAAACGTTCCAAGTATTCAATTAATGTGTATGCTGATTTTATAGTAGTTTTTTAATTATATCTCTTCCAATTTCAATTGAATTGAATTTTAAACACAAACACTGGTTACGGTAACCTATATTGAAAGAATGGTATGGGGTATGGGGTATGGAGTTTGTTATAAATTTTTCAGTGTGTCCAAAATCCAAAAAAAAGGCAATCCAGAAACAATTTTATTTACAAGTAAAGAAGACTAAAGAAAGACAATAATAAATTAGCCAGATAGTGAATTTGCTTTAGCCGACACAGTTTTTCAATCCAAAAGATGGTGAAAAAAGAACAATTCTTATTATTGCAAGAAAAGATTGCATAGTCATCAAAGATTAATTAGCTAGAGAATCTAGAATCGGGGGATCTTGGGACAGATTGATATGTGTGAATTATTTACGTTAAAAGAAAAGTCGCTACAGACCGAAATACTGCTGTCTACTAATTGAAGCTAAAAATTTGGTGAATTTTTGCCCGTTAACCTACCATATATATCTATCGACGGCGTTGACTTCGGGCCGCTTAATCTTAATTACTTCAATTAGAGATTCGAATTGAATAGAAACACCTTTTGTATCTGCCAACGTTTGTGTAAGATGGGCAACGTGTGCGAGGCCAATTCGTATTTTACCAACATGTTGGAAAAGAGGTACAGTTACAGGCACAGACCCTGATAGACAAGTGCGAGCTGGAGCTTTAAAAAAGTGTTAAAACTCTACGTAGATCAGCAACCAAACCAACAATACTAGATGCAGTAAGTGAATCTTAATCTCCTTAGATTCATAGTGTACCATATGTTAATAATTATAAATGCAGCCCGACATCGAGCAGTAGTAAAACTTCAATATGACAGTAGCGGACGTTTAATAGCGTTGGAGCCGGAAAAAACTTGTTTTATATATGTAAGAGTGTTAGTTTTCTTAGCCATTTAGAAGAATAACTTAAATAAATTATGAGTAAAGGTTTTTTTTTTTAGTTTTGTTATACTATCCATCACAGTGTATTTGATAGGGTTTGTTTGCTGTTACAGGTAAACCCACTCAATAAAAATAAAAGAATGGTTGATTGTGCTGTTAATAGATTACCGGAGCATCACTGCATTCCAATCTTTTTCATAAATTGCATCTTATGTATTTATTTATCTACCATGTATCGCTATTTTTAGTTGTTTGCAACAACTATTCCTCATAGGGTTTTACACATTTTGTTGAACTAAATTATATTTTATTGTTGGATATATATTAGTGTATTTTTATAAAAATAATTTTATATAAAAAATAAATATTAAGTAACTATTAATGTGTGGGCATTTTATGATTTTTTTGTGCATGAATGTTTTCTGATCATAATTTGAATAAACTCAATTGATCGATTTTATATTTATAGGTCTTTAAGAAACGAGAGTTCTTTATTTTATATTGTTATTTCTTTTAATAAAAAGGTGTTTCAGATGATACAAAAGTATAATATAAAATGATATAATATAACAATGGTGGAATGGTGGATAGCAGAAAAAAATTTGGCTATATAATAAATATTAGTAATATTAAAAATATTATATTTTTTTTATATAAAAAGCTGAACAACTGATTAGGTCGGTAATATATCTGTTGGATTTTCAAAATAAATAATTAAGAATATGTTACATGAATTGGGTATGAACAATGGAAGAGCTGAAAAGTATAAAAATTTTGTTTAAAATCAGTACTATGACACGTTATGGTTGGCTAATCGTTTTGCCGATTTTTTCGGATTCGATGAGTTTTATTTTCATATATCTTACAACATTTTGAGGACTAATCTTAAGTTTAATCATCTGTATACTAAATTTATTAATATTTTTTTAAATAATAATTAGTATGTTTTTAATAATCATAATATACATATTTGAATTACAAATTCATTGGGTATTTCAATAGGGGTTTATTTCTGCGTATTTAGTTTCTGAAAATTAAAAATATGATTATGGAAAGGATGATATTTAAAGCTGTGCTTACACACTATATGATATATTGCATATATTGTATATATATGTAACATATATATATATTGTCTAAAATACTTACGCAATCGAAATACTTGCAAATTAAAATATTTCTGTGCAATTTATTTTGGTTTCTTTTTAAAAAAATATAATTTTCAAAAATGCATTTATTTATCCTTTAATATTTGCTATCAATTAGTATTTATCAAGCTCTTGTTGCAAATTTCAATATATATATATATATAAATGTTTATTATACATAAAAAAACTTGTGATTTGTCCACAACAGAATACAGTTTAATTTAATAAATATTGCGGAAAGATTATAAATATTTAAAAAAAACCAATGATTTACGAAATGTAAATAAAATTGGTAAAGGGAAATGTTGAATTGAGGATGAAGAACTTGGATTGCTCTTTAGCGTGGAAATGTATATGTATTTGTAATGGGACTCACAATCTCTGACGCCCTTTGAGATACTAATTTTTAACGAAAAATCCGTTGGCAAGTAAAACAACAGCTAATTTTAGATAAGATAGCGACGGCGTAAAATGTTTCTAAGTGTTAATAGATTTTCTTATAGATTATTGAAGAAACGTATGGGAACGTATAAAAACTTAAACATATTTAATACAAACTCGTGTTTCCATCTCATTTTTGATTTCTTTTTGAATTTTTTATAAAAATTTCAATTAAATGTTGCTGCGCTTTTATATAAATTTGGAGGATTTGTCACATTGATACATATATGAATATATATTAATCTTGCAGGAATACAAAATACCTTAATTAAAATAATTTTTTACAATCTACGTAATGTATATTAAAAACTTTATAATAATATAAATAAATAAAAAATTATTCTATAAATTAACAACGAAAAAATGCTAGTTTATGAGAAGAGAAATTTTTCTGCTTATTTCGTCTGACGTTGTATACGTTAAGCCCATTATCAATCGACATTATTAATTTCGCTTAAAGCTCTACAAGTTTCCATTTGATCTTCCTCCATTTTGAAAACTTTGCTTTTGAGACCACATAAAATTTCTGCCGTTGCTATATTTTTTACTGTATGCGGATTACTTAAGTTTAACTGATTGTGATTGTTATTATTGTTATCACTATCACTCAGATCAGCATGGATGGGATTGTCGTTCAAAGTCTCATCTAAGCCATTGTTATCAATATTTATTCCATTGCTAGCATCGGTTTCTGTACTGTTGCCATTGCCATTGCCATTACCTTTGCCGTTGCCGTTGCCGTTGCTGCTGCTGTTGTTGTTGTTGTTGTTGTTATCATCGTGATCATCCTTTTTAAACTTCAAACTTCTTGCATTGATCGCATTTAGGAGTGCTGTATTTTTATTGAAATTAAATTTAATATTGTCATTGTTGTTATTATTTTTATCTTTATTTATTATTTTGTTCGAAGTATAATTATTATCATTGTTGTACTCATAGTCCCTGGTCATAGTGATGTCTTCGTTAATTATTTTCTCTTGCCCTTTTGTTTTTAATATTTCTATTGACATTGGTTCTACAGCCATTTGTTCTATATCGGATAATTCTTGATTACGTTTTTCCTCGATTTTATGATATTCATTTGCATTTGAATTAAGTGATTGTACAAGATTCAATGCTTCTTCTTCTTGTTCATGTTCTTCTTCTTCTTCTATTTCGCCCTCATTATTACTGTTATTGCCACTATTATTATTGGATCTATTACAATTCTTATGTTTCTCCATGAGTCTGATTTTGAAATTTGTGTGTTGTGGCACTTGATTCATATTTGTTGGAGTATTAATATTCGTACCCTGTTGATTATTGTTTGTATCATGATCCATTCCATAGCATTCCATATCCTTCATATCCTTCATGCGTTTTTCATTTAGTTCGTCATTGTAATGCATTAATATCTTTCGCTTAGCTAAAAATTTATGCTGTTTTCTAGATGTATCTAGCATTTTTTTGCTGTTAGCCTGCATAATGTTGTAATTGTCTGGTTTTATCGTTTCAGAAACTGTGTTGCCAGCATTTACTATGTGATTAAAATTATTATTGCTTGTATTATTATTGTTTCGATTGAGATTTTTCATAAAATTTTCAGCGAGCGATGCCTTTGATTTTATATGATCACGAAAATTATTGAACCCTGGAACTGGTAATTGTGCGTTACTGTTGGTAGTCGAGACACTACCATTTATATTTGGATCCAGTTGTTGTTGTGGTTGATGTTGGAGTTGTACATGTGGTTTACCATATGGAGTTCCTGTTATATTCACACTGTGAGTAGCTTTATCGAAGCGACATTCTGTGGATTCATTTTCGCTAGATAACTTAACATCTTTTGTGTCGTTGTCCAAATTTTTCTAAAAGCAAATATTTAAAAGAGTTATTTTAATATGGTTATTTATAAATCGAGAAATGCATTTGTACTATAATACATATGTAACTGTGTTACATTATTTATGGAAGGATGTTTAAACTGAATAAAAGCATCTCATATTAAAATGAAATGAAATAAAATACTTTATAATATGCTTTATTTTAACATAAGTTATCCTTTTGTTATTCTACAGGACATGATAGATTAGGATTTCTTAACTAAAACTTACTTCGGTGTGTAGGCCTTTTATTTTCATAGCTTCGGCAACTTTTAAAAATACCGGCAAGTCTTCATATTTTACATTAACCTATGTGATATTAATTAAGAAATTAATTAAGAACTAATTAAGAAATTAATTTGAAAATTTTTCTGAATTTTATCTAAATTTTAAACCTACCTGTCCACTATACATAAAATCTAGTAGACCTGCCATATGATTTGCTTCTACATCTGCCATAAGAAGTATTGGATGGCTTGATGGGTTTTCTAAAAATATTTGTTGGAAATACGGACTACAAACTGATAAAACCTAAAAAGTTAAGATTATAGCATTTTTATAAATGATTGATATTGAATAATAAAAATTTCTTCGGTTAATAATCAATGATTTCATTTTTATAATACCAATTTGTGTGCCTTGAAGATTTTGCCACCGGCAGCAATAGTAACGTCAACCATTTTTTCATCTTTTTGTAACGTGTGGAATCCCCGACACATATTGCCATGAAAATTATTCCACGATAACAGGTACTGATCGATGGTGTTAGGATCCGTAAATTGTTGTTGATTTTTCTGTTGTTGCTGTTGTTGTTGAAGATGAAGTTGTTGTGCTGCTTGATGCTGTGCCGTTTGTATGTGTATTTGCTGTGCTGTTGTAGGTGGTGTTGGTGGTGGTTGTAATTGTTGTTGCAATTGGTGTTGTAGCTGCTGCTGTTGTTGCTGCTGTTGATGTAACAGGTGTTGTTGCTGTAGAGAATGCAATCCTGGAGGAGGTGTAGGTTGTTGCAAGCGATGAGAATGTGATTGTTGATGTTGTTGTTGATGATGGAAACGTTGTTGCTGTTGCTGCTGATGTTGTTGTTGCTGTTGTTGTTGTTGTTGCTGTTGTTGTTGCTGCTGTTGTTGTTGTCGTGCATGTTGTTTCATCTTAACGATATTTTCTTGTTGTTCTTGTTCGCGTTGTCGTAGTAACTCATCCTTAATTCTGTATTGCTGCATGCTTAGATTATCTACACTTTTTGAAAGTTTCGACATATCATTGCTATTAAATTTTGTATTCGACAACATCGGTTTAATATCGTATTTTAAGTCGCTAACTGGAAACTTCTTGTCGTTAGCCGCCCGTTCTTTTTGACGTCTTATTAATTCATCGATATCCATATATGCTCCAGATGTAGCAGCTGCAATTGCCGAAGCTATAATAGGATCATCCTCAAAAACACTGTCATCAATAGTTTCTTTTAAAGTTTTCGTTGATGAAAATAAACGAAGAGATGGATCGTTGACTTGATCACTGAAATATACATCCATAAGTGTAAAAAACGGCCATTCACGTCTTTTGGGTTCCTCGGACATTTTAATTGCCTTGTTTGTATTAATTTATAACCAAAATTCAAACAAATTATTTAATAAGCAGTATTGTTGTGTATTTATTTTGAAATAATTTTACCTTGTATTCTTGGAGTAAATTATTCCATTTTTTAATGATTTTTGACAATGGCAATGGGACGTTAAGCTCACGTTCAACAACACTTGAAAAAAGAAACGACAATTTATTACACACTCAATACAATTGTTACAAAGTTTCCTAACCCATGCTATCAATAATGTACAAATATGTCACTACTAAAACTTAATTTAAATATAGTAAGTCATATACAATACTATATTTATATTACTAGAACATCATATGTACGGTTGAAATAGCTGGAAAAGTACCTCGAGTATATTGAACAATTTGGAGGCCAATAGAGAGGTTAAGCCAATATGGGAGAAGCTTGGAATAAATTGAACTTTAAGAATTTAAAAGTAGTAAATTCGATTGGATTTTATAGAATTTTTTGAAACCTTCCAGTGGTGATATTTAATGGTGAATCAAAAGTTGATATGGAGGGGAACTTTACATTCATTAGTCTAGTAAGTGAATCTGTAATTTTCCGAGTACGGTGATTTGGCAACCGATTTTAGTAAAGGTAGCTAAAATAGCTATTTCTAGTGAAAACACATTTTTTGTTGTGCTTTATGTAAGTATCAGATATTGTTTAAAAATAATAGCTCAACAATTGTTTTCATAAAATAATGAAAATAATTAGGAACTGCACCCAAGGTAATAAAAATTTAAACAAATAATTTATTTATAACAGATAGAATATGTGGCATATCTGATATATAAATATTGAATAAGGAATGTCTCAACAAAAGAAAAGAAAAGATATCAGTGCACTAAAGTGATGGTTACATATGCAAATCGTATTAACGTTAAAATTACTTTTATCATCATAAAGATCCTTAACTCTATATCATCGTAACATTCTATGAATTTTTCTTCTATTAAGCTTATATATCATGCAGTATCGTAAAATTTCTACTTACGCCCAAGCATACTTCGATGCATTTCTTTTGCCTGTAAACAGTGGAGATAGTTCGGCACGTAATCTGATTAGTGACTTCACTTTTTCTGCTTCCCCTAAAATATAGTAAGAAAATGAAATCTTTATTAATAACAATAAGGTTTAAGTCATTAATTAGTATTTATGATTTTTATAAATAAATTCAATATTGGAAAGCACAGCAATTGTATTTGTTGTTATTTTCATTATCTATCGAGCAATAGATATAGGAAGAACATTAACTAGCTTTATTACTCATAAACTATTGGATCTTATTGACTTAAAATTAACTTAAAAAGTTATAATAAAAAATTTTATAAATAAATCAATTTTGCTTTTGAAACGGGCTAATTCAGTTCAATTGTTAAATAATACACTATTTTGAAAAAATTTAGTTTTTAAGAAATTTTTTAATTAAAAATATGTTAAATGCAATTGACCAATTGACAAAATTATTATAAAAAATTTTGACCATCAAAACAATAAATTCTTAAAAAGTTATATTAAAACTACATTGACTACATTATGTCATAAAGTTTTCAAGCGCAGCCAGCTCCTTGAGGATTGTTACAATTCCTTTGGGAAAATGTTCAAGTGGGACTGAAGGCGAATTATGCACGATGTGTTGAATCTCTCCACTTCTATTACTAAGGCTATGCACAGATCATGTGATCTGATTTCATAAGAAGTATGTATTTTTAACTGATATATATATGGATGTGTTGAACATCCATAACTGTACGTCATTATATGGAAAAAACATATCTTTACATATATAAAACACCATGGCTTTCAGCTTACTAAAAAACACTTGTCAATAAAAAGACTTATTGGTTATTAGCAATTGTGAAATTATGAATAATTATAAATATGTTCTCAAATGACATGGGTCATTTTTGGGTTAGACAAAGATTAGATATATTGGTTAGCTGAGTTTGTATGTGTCTTAAGTGCATAATAAAGTGCATTTTGCTTCTTCTACCGTAATGATATCATAATTTGATAATATATGATATATTATTTGAGTTTTCGATTAAATAAATCTTTGTCATGTGTACATGTATCCTAATATTTTATAATATTATAAAAAATGTGTGTATATGACTGTGTGTATATAAAAAATAATGACCGAAAACTATTCAACGTTGAAGAATTTATTAACAGATTTCACTTTCGCTCATGACGTTGAAAATATTTGTGCTTTCTTGCTTTCTTGCTTTCTTGCTTTCTTATTTATTTTCTGAATTTTTTAAATGTTACACATGGACATATTGTAAACGAGCGAGCGAAGAGCATACTTCAATTATTCCATATACCGATGCATATGTGAACACCAGTGAACACCACTGAACACAATGACAACGAAAAGCCAATTCGATCACAAGAGACATAAGAAACGTGGTGGATGGAGGCATGCGTTGATGGTTCATATGGAGTGGAGTGTTATTTTGTATTTAGTAATAATATGAAGTGGCTTGGTCAAAAGAAAGTTGTGTACAGTTTTGTAATACCGGATTCCAGGCACCAAAGAATAACTCATAAAATAAAATACGTAAAATAGAAAAGCTTACAATTGATGGAATAGATGGTGCGAAATATATGCACCAACAAAATGAAGAAATAATTACGGATAATTAAACAATTTTAACATTTGATTCTAAAAAATAAAATTAAAAATAAAAATAAAACTAATCAAACTAATAAAACTAAAATATATGTTATAAAATTTATTTTGTTAAGTAATTTATGGTATATGAAGAGAAAAATAATTTCATTTAATATTGTATTTTAGAATTAAAATTGTATTACATATAAATAATATTAAACTTAATAAATGATTTTGATTCCAATCACACACACACACACATGCACTTCTAAATGTAATTTTGCCTAGAAATATATAGTATAAACTATAAAAATAGTTTTTAACTGTGTATGTGACGTCGTTTCTATGTAGATTTACTCGTATGTGTGAGTTGAGTACGTCGTAGGCTAAGGCAAAGTTTCACTTTCTTCTTAACATAAGTTCAAGTTGTTGTATTGCTGACTTAATGGAATGCTTAAGGTGGTATCTCCTCTTACCTTTTCTAACTAATTTTGGTATGTACACCAACATTGTCGTATTCTGCATTTTCCAAAAGCAAACAAATATGATAGCAATTATGAGCAAATGTCTTTCACTTTATTCATTTATTCATTTTTTTATTTTGTTTATCCTTTCTTACAAAATCGACATCTTAACCAATAAGTGCACGCTGTGGGATACGCAGGGCTTGTGAGATTTCATACTGTAACTATTCCAAGCTATTCTAAGCTGCTGCACCAATGGTATCTGTTACGATATTTAATGCTTTCTTTTACTTTCTATTCTTAATCTTCAACCAGCTACAGCTATTTCTTGATGCTTCTTAAGTAATTTGTAGCTAACCTACAGCATTCATGTTCAACGCTAATCTACAGCATTGTTGTTACCATGGGTTTCTCTTTTGACCTATATTTTTCGGAATTCTAAGTGTTAGTGTTTTTTGGTTTTTTTCTTTAGATATAGCGTTTGGTTGCTTCCGTTTTTACTTGGAAATATTTATACACAATGCCAGCATTGAATTTTGCTTAATTGTTATTCTTTACATTGATGGTAAATATCTTGTTGCTTGAGAGATTGTTTTCTGTTATGCCAGTTCAAATATTCTAAAGCATGGTCACGTTTTTTTACGTTTAATGAATGCGATTATAATGTGTGTATTATTCTTACTTTCTTAAAAAATTTTCTTCTTGTTTTCACAATTACGCACAGAACAATTATTGAACAATTTTTTTTGTGCATTGTCTTTAAAATTTATTAAATTTTCCATATATGAAGACAAACATCTCGACTAGTTATAAGGAAACTTGCTAGTAAATATGTAAATATATTGTTTCAAATCTTCAGCAAAATCTTTGTGATTTAATAGCTTTATCGCGTGTAGATCGTGGGAGACAAAAAGATTCTATTTTGAAAAGTTATTATTTCGCTAATTTTCTGACATTATTGATAATGTTTACTATTTTTATATTTTTCTTTATTTGAACTTTTAAATTGTGCTGAAATAATTTAATAATAAATATTGAAATATTCATTTTTGTGTCTCATCTATGTATTTTTTTTTATTTGTTATTTGAAATACTTATAATACTTCATACAATAAATATGAATTTAAATACGGCTAATACTTCAATCAAAGCTATGGTACTTAATTTAGATTATTTGTCAGAATATGCCAGAATATGCCAGAATATGCCAGAATATGCCAGAAATAATTTAGATTATTTGTCAGAATATGCCAGAATATGCCAGAATATGCCAGAATATGCCAGAATATGCCAGAATATGCCAGAATATGCATATGTGTATGCGTGGTTTTAAAAATGTCTCGTTAAACTAAAGACTTAAGAAACAAACTCAAATTTAAATTTTCTGCAGTTAACCAATGGAAATATTATTGTACCAATTAGAAATGTGTTTATATTGTGAATGCATTTCAAAATACATACTTGTATATTTTCATTTGATCTTGTGATTACCATAAATTCTCATTTTACTTTCTCCATTGTAAAATGTGTTTATATATGAAGATAAACTGAGCGAAGTAAGAGAAATTGAAAACATATGTATATGTATATATCATAATTCCAACTGCATAAATAAAGAAAAAATTGCGAAGAAAATGCGAAAAATTTGAAGAAAACCACTTTACCAAAGTGAAACGCAATAGTCACAAAAGATTCACTGTTGATTCACTGTTTTCTTTTAATGATTAATCTGTGAATTTGAAACTTGAAATTTGAAATTCTCGCTGACAAACCAAGTTTCAATTTTAGAGATCAGTTAGTTGAATGCAAACTTAACTAAAAATAAAATTTATAGTTATTTCTTGTATATAGTGGTTTAATATACAAATGAAATCCTGGAAAATTCTTGGTTAATTTATTAACCTTAACCACCCAGCAGTTACAGTACAGTACAGCCAGACAAGATGGGCATACTATGTTAAAATACTAATAAATATTGAAATTACTATAAAATAAATACCATCAAGAAATGAACACCTAAAATAAGTTTCTAAAAATTGTTTAAGATAACATTGATTGTAACAGTCAGTAGAAAACCACTTCTTTTTTCTGATTCTTCTTGTTAAATTGTTAAATTACATATACACGAGCCGAATACATGTGTATGTGAGTGGGGAAGTATGTGTATGTGCACGAGAAAGAAGTTTTCAGCTTTTGTTGTGGCCATGTAAGAAAACGAACATCCAATAACAAATGAAAAGCAGTCAGCTTACTTTTTAGTAAAAGCGTACTTCTTGCCCGCTTACCTCTTAATCTTTCTCATATTTTGTATTGTTTACTGTTTACTGTTTACTGCTTTCTGCTTTCTGCTTACTTATGCCTTTTCTTCGTTACCTATAATTTTCACTTGTATACTTGTATGGAATTTGCCTTAGTATTAGAACTTTCACTTTAGCTTGCTTCACTGCTACAATGCAGCTATTAATGTTTAGTTCAATTCGGATGTGTTGGGTTCAACGCAAGCTACTTCATTTCTGTTGTGTATGTATAGAAAAAATCTTACATACTTATTTATTTATACATGTCTGCACTCTTTCGTTATGATGCGGACTAAGCTGTTTATTTGTGATTTAAGTTTAACGCTCGTTCAATGTGGATGAATAGGTACGACTTATTCCCAAACACCAAACACATCATGCATCCCTTGATTCAAAATAATTTATTACTTCTTAAGATGCGAAATATATTTGATGGATTAGTTATATAAAAATAAAAACGATGTGATCTAATTGTTGTGAATAAAAACTTTATTATTAATTATTAGAACTGATTTTATTAGACATTAAAAATGTTATCACATCTAACTGAACTTACTTTCTTGATGAAATGCCCGTCACAAGAGTAATGCTTGTTAAAAATATTTCAATTATTAATAATTTACTTTCATATAAATTATATATAGAACGCAGGAAAATATCATAGTGCTCAGCGTTTGATTTTGCATTTACATTGTTGCTTATGAGATTCATGTGCCTATGAACCTCAACCCAATCCAACCCAACCCAAATTGTATTACACAGTTGAATAAGAGGCTGCAGAATAATAATTGGGAAATAAGAGTAACATCAATCTTTGAAATGTCTATGAAAAAACACTATAACACTATAAACATTTTGAATTTAAAATTTAAACATTAAAAATTAAAAATTAAAGTAAACAAAAACACTATCGGTACATTAGTTCTAATGTACTGAATTCTGATTCGTATTTAGCGCTTTATAAATATGTGTATACTTTTTGGTAAATGAAATTTCAATAAATAATATTTAGTGAAATTTGAATGGTAGTGAGGTGACAATATTCGCATCTGAAGTGATACTTTAAATGTTGGGATTTGTAATACCTGATGACGTCCATTAGAAATAGTTTCGTAACCTTTCAGCTTGAAAATGTCATTAGTATGTTTATGGATATATAAAATAAAAGATTCAAATGAGCCGATTATACTAATGCCAGAGGATATAAGAATTACGTTCATATAGTGAAAACATTATTTTGTGTTATTGTTGTTTATTAAAAACAACATCTTATATGCAACTATTATTTATATTATTATTTTGTTTATTTTGACAAATTTTTTTGAATTTTGGAATTTTCTTAAGAGAAATATAAAACAAAAAATTCTAAAACTTTTAGTTAATATTTTATTTTATTCACATAAGCATTTAACAGCTTAAATAATATTAAAAATGAGAATTAGAAACTGTTCTAAAAATATAAAAATAATATTATATAATAATTAATTTAAAATTATCAAGCTAACTTAATAAAGAAGTTATAAACACGGATTTAAAATTTATTATTAGAGGTGATTATAATAACAGTATCTCAATATAAAGAATGAATAAATTAAGGAAACTAAAGAAACCCAATGATATTAGTGAGGTCATAATTAAAGAAATTTATTATCGAAGAAGTTATCATTTGACGGGTATAGATGATCAAATATGGGCAAATAGTTATGTATGGGTTATAAATTTCCCAGATCCTAAGCAATACAAAGTACTGTACTGTATTTAGTTGTCCCTTAAAACAATTTATATTATATAATTTAAACAGAAATATTTTTCCCACAAACTGCATTGTCTGTACTTATTTATATATGTAGTTTTCTATCATCTGTCCGTTTACTTGTCTAGCTGAATTGTTAATCTGTGATTTCATTTTTATGTATTTATGTATTATTATCAATGTATGCCATTATCTGCATTTATTTTTCTATATATTTCTTCTTCTTTCTTCTTTTTTTGTTTTTTGGTGAACTATTCACGCCATTTTCTACGTTTCTACTTGTATTTAATATTTTTTTTCTCTTTTGTTGTTGTTAAGTGAAAGTTATGCCGACGATTGCGAATAAAAATAAAAATTTTATTTGTGAAGAATATAATTCTCTTCATCAACTTCTTTTAGTTTGACTTTTTACTTTAGTTTTATTATTTGCATTTTTCTTCTTTTTTCTTTTTGATTAGATTTTGTTTTTATTTTGTACGTATTTTAAAAATAGTTGAAAATAAAAGTAATATTTTTTTGTTGGCTGCAAAATGTTGAAGTAAATGTTGAGGATGATTGTCAACATCAATAAAATCTGATAGTCCCAAACTAATGGGCTTTTTTGAGTAGAAATATTTAGATTATTTTGTTGAATATTTTATTATTACACCGATAATAATAAATTCCATTACAAATTCTCTCAAATAATGCATGTTGCAGAAGATATAACTGAACTACTAATAATACAACATAAAATTTACTACATGAAATTTACATGAACTTAAATTACTTTGGCGATATACGATATACTTGGATGTGATGTTGGGATATCAAAATTTTTAATCCAGAAGTTTCTTCAAAACTTCAAAACTGCAAAATTCATTCAAGTTATTCCTTTTTTTAATTTTAAAAACTGTTTCGATACATTTATTGTAAAATATTGTTAATATAAAGTCGAATACTAAAATAAAGATTTTAGAAAGAGTATCAAATTTATTTTATGGAGAATAAATTCTTTTATAACTGTTCTAAACTGCGGGTAGATAACTTAATAAATTATTATTACATTACATGAATCTATATCTTTAAATATATCATAAAGTACACCATAATGGAGCATCGGATGAATGTGTTATGATTTTATATTAACAATGAGCCAAAGAAATATTACAACTGAAAGAAGCTTTAAATTGAATCGAATGGAATTAAAAAATAACGATAACAAAATTTTTTTGGCGTTGAGTATTAAGTATGCTTTACGAACAACTTTCACCTATTAATATTCGTGTCTTATATTACCACTGAAGCTATAGATGATAAAAGTAAAAAGCAGTAAAAAGCGGAAAAACAGAATGAGCAGTAATAGCATTCAACTTTTGAGAAACATTATTGTAAAGCACATTTATAAGATACTTGTATTTTAATATGTGGTTGTGCAGATACTTTCGGAATGTAAGCACTTAGATGGGGCACCTCACAACTGACTAAATAAACAACGAATGTTGTGAAACTTTCTACAAAATCACGTTTATTCAATGTTCAATGTTCAATGTTCGGTCTTCGGTGTTCAGTGTTCAGTGTTCAGTGTTTAGTGTTCCGCATTCAATGTTCCGCAATCAGTTTTGACTGCGCAGGTTATGAATTTCTGAAAACTTGAGAATTGTAAGATGCGAAACGGTAGTCAACGCTGTACTGACGATCATCGATTGTACATTGCGAAGGTCTTGCGAACTGTTTTCAAGTTGCAGTTTATTGCAATGGAAAATAGTGTAGTTTTTCAAGTTACACTTCCATCATCATTTGTTTTAAAATAAAAAAAATATATATTTCTTTTTAATCCTATCAAAAAATGTATGCAGACTGAAAGTATAAATGAGCCTCGTTAATTATATAGTTATTGTTTTCCTAATTTGACATAAAAAATTTCTTATTGGTTTTAGTAACTTATTTTATTGGTTAAATCTACAAGATGATAAATCAATTAAGGGAAAAATTAAGGGAAAATACTATGGTAGAGAAATATAATATATATTTTTATTATTATTGTTATTTCGTATTTAGCTGAGAAACAACTGATATGTTTTTTAAAACTTTAAAGTTAATTAATACAAAAAAAATATTTTTTTTAAATTATATACATATATACTATATACAAAAAATAACTTAAATTCTATAGAGAATATAAATGTATTGGATATACTAGTATTGTAAAGATATGCTTTCATTTTCAAATTAATATAAAAATTTTTTAATTTTCTTCATTTTTTTAATGTATTAATTCAAAAGTTGATAAATTAGTTTTGATGGAAGAAACTTACAGCAATATCGTGTCGAGTACTGGCAGTTGGTATTGACGCTGGGTGGTAAAATCTCATTAGCAGCCATTATATCATTGGCAGCCATATCCACGAATTTTGTTCAGATTTTGATTGCAACTTGTATTGACTTTTTATTTTCACTTGTTTATTTTATAGAAAAGTTTGTTTATTGTTATCCAAATACTTTCTTTATTAATTATACTTTTTATGTCAAAAGTTGATTATTAATCGATATTAGTTTTCATTTTCACTTAAAATAATTTTTTAATTTTAATTTTAATTTTAATTTTAATTTTTGCATAATCAATATTTGCATGCATTTATACTCTGCTTCAAGCCATCATAATGATCTTATTTAAAATTGTTTCAATATATAAAGATACAATTTCGATACAATTCCTTAAATCTTCCTTATTATTAGTTCTTAATAAATGTTTTTATTTTCTTAATAAAAACTAATTGAAAATATTATTAAATAACTTTTTAACATAGTTCAACGCACGATTTTGTAGCCACCTTTTCAACATTAGCTTTAAATTTTCTAATTTTCTAATTTTTAAATTTTAATTTTTTAAATTTTCAGATTTGTTGTCTTGCACGCAATTAAAGTAGTAAATACATGCTACGCGATTTAGTAGAAAATGTAGCGCTTGCTTTGGCTTACTTCGTACGTCTGAGCTGCGTGCCACAGTGAAACCTGCGCTAGTCCTCTAAAACCACCAACTTTCTGCCTAAATAAACTAAAGAGAAAAGAAAAAAGTTGTGCCTTGAAAATATGAATTTTATGATTTCATTTCTGTTTCGCATACATTGTTTGGTCGGCGATGTTAATGTTGATGTTGGCTTAGTGCTGCAAGAAGAAATGCTTTCTCGTTTACTGGTTATCGTACATCCACTTTTCTTTAGCTTTTCTCGTTTCGTTCCACTTCTTTGCTTTGATTGCTGTTATAGCGCACGAATTGTACTGTTGTACTTGGGCTGTTCCGTTACCAACCTAAGCACCGTTCCAAGCCAAAGCAGCATTCTTCTTTTATTAAACATTAACAAGGTTCGATGTTATTTTTGTTTTTTCATTTCTCGCTTTTATTTATGCTTCTTCTTCTGAGCATTCATAACCAATTCCTACAGATGCTTTTCCTTTTTCGTCTTCATGTCTTCTTTATGTCGTCTTCATGTCAGTTAATAGTAAAATTCTCTTCGAAATTTTTAAATTGTTCTTCTTTTCGTTTTATATCAAGTCACTTGATTTTGATTTTGATTTTAGTTTTAGTTTTAATTTTAATTAGTTTAGTTTTAATTTTAATTTTAGTTTATGTATTTGTATTTTGAAGTTCTTTTGTAAATACATACAATATACAATATACGTTCGTTAAGGCAATTTTGAATAAACTCTTAAGAATTGAATAATCAATTCACGTGGATAAATATAAACATTCGATGTGGTTTTTATTTAGAAGTTGAAATTATATAATTGAACTCTTTCTCTCTAATTAATTACATTTTGTATTTGTACATATGCATGTATTAAAGTATATCTACCTTTCCATGGTTTTATAAAGTGTTACTTTCATTTTAAATAATCTTTAAATTTAATTCAGTTGTACAGTTGATCAGTTGATCAGTTGATCAGTTGATCAACTGCACTTATTTCGAACACTTTTCTTCTGCTGGACATGTTGATACCATTGGTTTGTTCTAAACAGTATCAATGGGAAGTTATCCTGTTTGTCCGCAATACCTTGGATTATGGAGAATTGACTTTCTCCAAATCCAAAGCTTGTTTTACGATCTTTGTGTATTTCAATCAGTAAGAGCAGGTGAGAGATAACACACACACACAAAGTATCCATTCGAACCGCGCTTGAAGATCTTAAAGCAGTACATGTTGCTCTTACAAATGCGCAAATGCAATACGTGAAGTCGAAAACTTTCTAAGTATCAAAGCCATTGTGTCTGCGCCTGACTGTGATATATTCTCACAATCATTGAATATTGAAGACTTTTTAGCCTTTTCACATTTGCACTGATGAAGAATAGAAGAAGATACCCTAACTTCTTCTTTCTCATAATAGTAGATTACGTTAAGAATCTTCTACGAAAAATTGAGTATGTAGGTACTATTTCATTGGTAAGTTGGTTATTGATTTTTAAAATTGATTAGTTTTCATTATCATAAATAAAAAATTTACAAATATCTAAAGGCTAGAATTAAAATCATTAAATATATGTTATGAATGGTAATAAATGGTTATAAAGGATAGTGGTAATTTGTTTATATTAAAAACATTTTGACTATTGTAAATATTGTTAATTTTTCACTAGAGAATAACTACAGATTTCCCCATCAAACTCCGTACATATTTGTTGTTTTACCAATGTTTTGATCACAATAATTTAGTGTTGTTCTAATAAAGTATACTTGTAGATTTCTTATCGATAATTGCTGGCAGTACAAATTTAAATCAGTCGTTAAAGGAAGGCGATAGTAAGGTTAAGTGAGGTTGGAGTGCCGGCTTTGTATTTCACTTGAGCTCAAAAAATGGCTCGTTGTGATACCACGGATTAGCGTTATTCATACGTAGACCTTTCGTCTGCCAAAACTTCGAAAAGCACAACTTCCATCAGCATTGATACTGTAGTATTGTAGTGCAGGTTACGGCTTATTTGAAGCAGTGGACTGGTACATTTCTTTCTTGTTTGATCAAATTGATCTTGAGATCTGACAGACAGGTTTATCTGCTCAAATTTGCTCATAGTATAAGGCGATAGTATCTTATAATGGTTTTATTATTATTTATTAATGACATGTTCAAGAATTTTTAATTTTTGCAAAAAACTTGATAAAGTATTTTGCTGATTCTTTTCGTTGTTTATTTCATCTTTATAATCCTTTGTCCTTTGTATATCGTTGATCTTAAGGTTTGCGACAAAAATTTCGTTTCACACTTATGAGGTATTTGTCATAATTTAATCAACTGTACCGTGAGTTGATTATTTATAGGTTTTTTACTGCTGATTAATTATAGCCACATAATTTACATATCGTCGCATGTATTTATTATTAAAATTTTTTTATGTTTATGTGTAATTAAGGACGTTATGAGTCACATTCTTAAACTAAACAGTGGATGAAGAATTAAAAAGTTTGTTTTTTGTTTGGAAGCCATATGCACACCTAACCTTTTTTTAAATTAGTCAATTCAAATCTAAGTTTACGAAACCGATTAATAATATCAACAATGGTACCTCCGTTCCATTTCATCCTCCATTCCATTCTCCATGGCTCTACTTCTAAGATATTCAAACCTTTTGGCATCTCCACACTTTTGCCATTTATAAAAACTTGATAGTTATTATTCTTTCACACATTCTTGTTTTACCGATATTGTTTGTTATATGTTGACACGGGAGATTAACAAGAAGACCATATTATGGGTGTATTTAATGTCATTTAAGTGATTGTATCGTTCTCAATCTAAGTTCACGCAACATCCAATTCTGTAATAAATAAAATTGGTTACATGATACAGCACTACCATACACTGTGGACGGATGGAAATAATTTACTTTAAGACTGTTATGCAGCATCAATAGTTATACAGATACCATTTTTAAACGCGTCTAATGACTTTTTAAAGTCTACATACTTTTCAACGTATGTAGTTCTGCCGATTGCTCAGTTCATATTCTTATCGTACTTTTATGATCGGCACGATTGTCCCGGGTACAACTTTGCAAAATTTCTTCTGATGTGTAGTTAATATCTTTGATATATAATCAGACATATAGTATCATTATTCTTGTCGCTATAAGTCATCATCAACTACCATACATTGAGTCATGCATTGATATTAAAGAAACCGAAGGATCGATTTTGTTAAATGGTTTAATGGGTTTAAATGGTCTTATTGTTAATATTCATTCTATTAGCTTATAAGTCAAGTCAAGCAAACAAAATAATACAATGGTTGTACATTGTATAGGAGAAATAGAATAAATTTCATGGCATCCAATAATAGAATTAAATGAAGCTGTGTAAGAATTAAACAGACAAGACTTAAAAACATGTAAGTCCACGCACTAACGAGTCTTTCAAAATAGAAATACATATTACAAAAATAATATTTTAAATATAATAATATCAAAATGGCCCGTTTTGTTTTTTATCGAAATCATGAATCTTCGAAATATATAGAAGTAGATAGTGGTCGTCATTATGAGCATTACAAAGCTACGGAAGTAACCGGGGACTGATTAAAGATGTTTGAGGTGATTGTTAAACTCTGTATCTATCGACCCATAGTCAAAGGCTTAGAATCATTTTGTTGATATACAATATATTTACTGAGTAAGAAGTGTTATAATTTGCTGTGCCTTAGAAAATAGACTACAACATCGAATCAAATATAAGCAAAGTCAAGCTGTCAAATTTTTAAAGAATTGAATCGGAAGAGAATTTGAACCTTACAATATTAAAGAAAAGCCTTTTCTAAGTGCCTAATGTGTGAAATGATAATAATACAAATTCGAAAGTTATACTTTTTGATTTGTTGTGATTGTTGTTGTTATAATGCAATTTTATATAGAAAAAAAAATGAAAAAGAAATAAAAAAAATCAATTCACAAGAATTCTACAAATAACAATAAAATAATTCCATTTTATATATATTTAGTTAATTTGCGTTTTAATCATTCACATGTGGACTTCGTAGAGTTCCGGTAGACTTCAGTGAAAACGAAAAATAAAATTAAGAAAAAAACTAGAAGCTTGTGAAAAAAGACAGAGAGAAAAGTAATACAAAAAACGTAAACATTCTAATTGTGGGCAAAAGTAGGTCAACTCTGTTTGGCTCAACGGTTTCTTTGAATAAAAAAGACGCTTGCCTCAACCAAACACTAAAGCAGCACCATCCACTTACCGTCCACTTGCACTTTCTTTTTACCGAACGCTTCGTACATACAAACGAGTTTTACGAGTTAGTGTTCGCTTTTGGCATCGTTGTCAGCACTACGTCATCAGTACTTGTTTCTCCTAAGTACTCTTTCTTCTTTCTTTCTTCCGTAAGTTTTTTGAAAGACTGCTTCTTTGAAATCCCTTTCGATTGAATTTTAAGTTAAATTTGGAAATAGTTTGATATGAAGAGTATCAGCACCTAAAAAAGTACACTAACGCTAGTATAAATGAAATTGTAAATTATTATTTTTAATTAATTTCCATTAACTTAACTATCTTAAAATACTATTTAACCTGAATAGGACAAAAAGTGAATTTAAACTCACTTGATATAAGTGCGTTCAGCACTTAACCTTCATAATTCATGATATTTAAAAAGATCATAAAATATATTTATAAGTTCACTTATATTATGTATATGTATACTTTCTCCTTTTCTATTCAAGTAAATAAAAATACTCGTAAAATATGTAACTGTTTTACTTTCTTTAGTTTTGGGCATATAGAAATTATCGACTCGCAAGATTGAAACTAATTATGTTGGACAATTTTATATCGTAACTTTTAAACGGCAACAAACGATAACAATAACGATAACAAAACGGTAACAATAATGTTAAAAATATAATATCAAAACAAAATAAAGAACGTAGTTTATATGGATTTTACTTAAATGGAAAGTTAAGAACCATATGTTAGGACCTTTGCATGTACAATTTTTTGTATTATCAGGTGTGTGTGTATATAATAAAAAGGCGATTTTGCCTTTAAACAATGTCGTCAACAGTGTACCGTAATTTTACGATATTCGAATGCATCAATAACCCCGGACCCAAACATTACGTTCTTTGTTACGATTACAAAATAAAGTGAAAGCATATTTTTAGGATACTTTATGAACTTAATTTCTATTTGCAAATACAAAATATTAAAGAAAACTTTGTACTGTATTTTTGTACGGTATCAGAAAAATTAGTTTCCACATTTAGAATCTACGTTATTGCGTAAACGTTCAAGGACATTAAAATGAAATTTTTAAAATTAAACTTTAATTTGTTCACAGAGAAAGAGAGAGAGAGAGAGGCAGTTCACATAATCGAAATGTTAATCAAATCGAATATTTATGGTTTCTATTAAAATTCTTAGAAGAAAATTTTGATGAGAATAATCATAAATAACTTTAAGAGGTTTTAAAATAAATACATAATATAATAGTATTAAGGCATAGCCATTGCTTCTTACAACAAAGTTCTATTATTTATAATAATAATATGAAAATACATATAATAAATTCAATAAATAAAATAAAATAAATATATATAAGATCCGGCGTTATATATACCCCAAACTTACGCTTAAACAACATGTGGACTACTTTTGTGGATAAATAAATCCTTAAATTTAAATTTTGTACTTTTTCATCAATAGACATTTAAAACTTAACATTTCTAAAAAAGATGCTAATAATATAGATTGTGTTTCTTTCATAATTGTTGCTTCATATTGGATGCTTCCCCACCATGATATAATACTTCTAGTACCGACCTTAAAATGATTAACAACCTTCCATGATGTTACTCCAGTAGAAGTCTACTTGACCTAATGAAAATGGAGATGGTGCAAGCTGGACCGATAATTCTATTTGAGAAATTTGAGACAAAATGTTTAGCTGCGTATTCCACACATTTAAGAGAAATTTTAACCCATTCATTACACATTTTTGAAATCTTGAACTATGTTTAAGCTGTATATTTTTTGTATATTTTTAAATTAGATTTGAATCCACCGTAATATGGGCTGAAGAGGTCTAAACGTCTGAACTCTATACTTTTTTTTTACTTTAAATAAATAAATGATATAAATATTTGGTATTTATCAAAACAAATTTAATTTTTATTAAAAATGTTCAAAGGTTATAAAAGTTAGATGTCTGGCAATATTTTTTTAAAACAATCAATTACTTGCATTTCTTTTTTTTGCGAATAAGTATTTTATTCACTAGTTTTTTCTTACGCTTCTTCAATACCAATCAATACCACACAAAATATTTGTTGGATAAATAGATGATCCGGTATTCATTAGCATCTTTGTCTTCATCATCTTTATCAGTACCAATAGTATCATATTTAATGATGTCATACTGTCGATTTCAACCGATCCTGATTCAGCCAATCTCATAATCTGACTAATATTGAAAATCAATGTTTAATTCTGCAAATAGCCTATTTGGTTCATATACGGGTGATAGAGTATTAATGGCGTATTATTTAGAAGTCGCGAAGACTTCCACAATATCCGGATCGATTCAGTTCTGGCTTTATACAATAAACTTACAAAAGTTAATAAATGTTTTCTGACAGCATATTTTTGAATTGATTAACTCTATAGAATATATGATTGCTATATACGAGTATGTATATATATTTATAGTAAGAAGTAGATAATAGATAATTATTAACATTTGATTTATCAATATACTAATTTTGATTTATTAATGATTTAATGTAACATTTCCCTCCGTATTTAGCTTAATTTTCCAGTTGTAATTTATTCGATACTGAGCGAGCTGCGTTGCGTTTATGATGTATTGCTTTAAAGCTACTACTATTACAGTGGTACCTTTCCTGACCAATTCAGGTTGGCCAATTTAATGTGAGTATCGTGGGGGCTGTGGTTTAAGCCTGAAGATAGGCGGGCTTAAACCATCGTGGCTGTATTCGTTGCTTGCATTCGAGGAGAAGTTGCATTTTCGTGGACTTGTTATAATAATTGCAGCTTTCAATGCCTTGCAGTAATTGCTCTAAATATTTCTGAAATATGGCAGATGCGCTTACCATATGTTACCTAAAAATAGCCTTCTTCGACTCCCCATCGAGTTCTATTTATCAATATACGTCACCTAAGTTGATCTTTGAAAATAACGTATCATGGCGAAGTTTACAAAATAAATTCTTACGATTCACCAATGGCTATTACTCAATGTCTTTTTGAATTTTGAATTTATCAACACCAATAAGATTATTTTCATTCGTGTTGATAAATTAACCCAAAATTGAAGTATATTTTTTACCGGAACCGTATAAATAGATTTCACAGTTTTTATTTTAATAGTTTGGACCGGTTTAATTAATTTAGTTAATAATTTTCTTACTCGTGCGGCTTGGTACGTTTTTAGCGTTCTTATTTTCGGTCGCGAGTTCGGCGTGACAATATGGATTGCTCGAAATGTAATAAGTCGCTTCGCAATGATAGCTTTATAATATGTCAAGGGGCATGCCAAAAACGATTCCACCGCACGGTTAAATGTAGTAGCTTAGACGATTACGCGGAAGGAGTTTTGGATAGGCCCTTTGTAAGATTTATGTGCGATGACTGTTTTACACTTATACTCAACATCGATGAAGTGCTTGAAAAAATGCAACGAACAATGGATGGTCAACGCAAAGGATGGTCAACGCTTCTGTGAACAACTGGGCGAATACAAAAACCATTTCGAAACAGCACTAGCTAAAAGTCATGACAGCTTAATGCAAGCCCAGCAAAAAAGCGAAAATGAGCTAAAACTCTTGCTAACAGCAGTCGAAAAAAAATTCAGCCAGCGTTTGGAAAATATGAAAGAAGTGAAACGGGTATGTGAAGAGGATGCCATAGAAGTTAAAAAATTTCGTGAAATTGCAGAAACGATAAAAACCCATAACGAGAAAGTGCGGGATGAAATCGAAAGCAATAATAAGCAAAACAAAAAAATCTGTTAAGAGCTAAAGGAAATCCAAAGTAACGCTTTACAGCCGCACAGTTCAAAGCAAGCTTCATATGCCGAAGCGCTTAAATTCAGAAAAGAAGTGCCTTTCATGATCAAACCTAAATCCAAACAAAATATTGCAAAAACAAAGCAAGACCTAAACAATAAAATAAACCCGGAAAATTTGAAAATCGCTAATATCTACGAAAGAAACAACGGCACCATTGTTATAGAGGCAGAAAGTGATTCCGAGCGTGAAAAAATAAAATGTGCTGTAAAAGGCGCTATGAGCGAGAATTATAAAGTAAAAGTCCCAAACTCTATTAAACCACGATTTACTATCTCTAGAATCAGTTTTAACGATTCTATAACGAACAGGAAATTATCGAAAAATTGCGAAAACAATATCAGTGCCTCTCTAATTGTGAACTAAAACTAGCAAAAATGTACGAAATAAAACGAGATAATAAAGTATTTTACAACGCAATATTTGAAACGGACTCGAATACCTTTACAAAAACTATGGAAGCAGAAAAGCTAAACAATGGAACGGACTTAATGATATGTTACAAGTGCCAGGGCTTCAACCATAGAGCGCCTTATTCCAGGTACGACGAATGTTGCCGTAAATGCCATCAAAGACATCGTACTCGCGATTGCAATGAGGAGCCGGTTAATAAATGCATAAATTGTATACGTGCAAATGAGTAGCTAGGCTTGGGCTTTGACGAAAATCATGCAGTGCTTGACAAAAACTGTCGCGTGTATCTCAAAACACTTGAACAGAAGAAAAAGAAAATCGAATACTAGCAGAGAACAAACAAATCGTGCAGTCCTCTCCCTGGGCCAAAAGGGTTGAGCGCTGGGATCACAACCCGCCTCGTCAAAAATATTGTGACTCATCATCAACCAAACAAAAAACATAAAACAAGTCAAAAAAAAACGAAAGCGTGATATAATTCTGGGAACATGGAACGTACGTACGCTGCTGAGAGCAGGAGCACTACAAGAAACAATTAAGCAAATGGAAAAGTACAACGTTGATGTGCTAGCGGTTCAAGAAGTACGATGGCAAGGATGTGGTGAAATTGAATGCAATGGTACAAAATTCCGTTTTAGTGGTGACGCTGAAAGGTCTGGTAGGTCTGGGACTGGATTTCTGCTTAACAAACGAGTGGAAAAATCGTTTTTGGGCTTCAGACCAATAAATGACAGAATATGTGCCTATGCTCCAACAGAAGACGCAGATGATATCGCTAAAGAGACCTATTATACAGACTTAGACGAGACATTGAGCAAAACTCCATCACATGATACAAAAATATTACTTGGAGACTTCAATGCAAAAATTGGAAGAGAACAATACAATTCTAATGTAGCTGGCTTACACTCACTACACACCGTGTCATCAGACAATGGTAAACGGTTATGTCAGCTTGCAACTGGTTCCGGTATGTACATTAGCAGCACGCATTTTCCACACAAAAATATACACAAGGGCACATGGCAGCTACCAGGTTCAACAACAGTTAACCAAATAGATCATGTTCTTATTGACCATATTAAGAAATCGTTTATCCTTGATGTTCGTAGCTGTAGAAGTGCGAATGTCGATAGCGACCATTTTCTGGTAAAAGCCACAGTAAGACAAAGTCTAAAGGGCGTGCGTACAAATTACGGATCTAGAAGGAAAAAATGAGACGTTGACAAGTTACATGACAGCGAAGCGGTCCAACAATATGAGCAGAGAGTAAACGAATCACTTAGACATATCACGAACTATACCAATATAAACGAGCACTGGAAAGTTTTTGCAAATTCAATCACAAAAGCAGCAGAAGAAACCGTTGGTGTGAAAAGAAATCGTAGACGCAACAATTGGTTTGATAACGACTGTGCAGTCGCAGTAGAAGCTAAGAATGTAGCCAGAGAACAAATGTTAAATGACAACAGCATTACTAACCAAAGCAACTACAAAAACAAACGAAAAATAGCAAATATAATATGCAAAAGAAAAAAAAAAGAAGCCGTCAATAGAGAAATCCTAGACATCAATAGAGATTTTGCAGATAGAAACGCTAAAGGTTTCTTTCACAACATCAAGCATCAAACAAAGGGTTTTCAGGAGCAAATCAACATCTGTAAAGACAAAGATGGGGAACTACTAGTAGAAAAAGAGTGCATTATCAAAAGATGGCAGGAACATTTTCAAGAACTTTTCAACATTGGTTCGGAAAGTAATAACCTATCCTTAACAGACTTAGCTACAAGTACAGAACAAGAACCTGAACCCACTCTTGAGGAATTTACAGAAGCCATAAAGCAAGTGAAAAACGGAAAATCACCGGGTGAAGATAGTATATCAGCAGAGCTCATTAAACATTGCGGAGAAAGCGCAAAAATAGAGCTGTTTACATTAATCAAACGTGTCTGGGCTGAAGAAATGCTGCCGGAAGCGTGGCTCACTGGCATAGTAGTACCACTGCACAAGAAAGGTGACAAACTAGATTGTAATAATTACCGAGGCATAACGTTGTTAAGCACATGTTACATGCATTTTAAACAAGCGACTAAAGAATGCAGCGGAGGAAATCTTAGGTGAATACCAAGGGGACCGATCAAATATTCCTGCTTAAACAGAACCTGAAAATGAGTTATGAGTTCAATGCATTAGTACATATCCTTTTCATCGACTTCAAACAAGCATTTGACAGCATCGATAGAAAAATGATACAGGAAGCTTTACAGTCACTCGGGATCAATCAGAAGCTCATAAAATTAATAATGATTACACTGTGCAATACGACTGGAAAAGTGATAGTGCAAGACAGTCTAACAGATGCCTTTGAAATTAAAAGTGCAGTGAAGCAAGGTGACTCGCTTTCAACTACCATTTTCAACCTAGTCCTTCACGATGCTATTAAGTCACTGGTGGCAACAGGGAACATATTCAACAAAACATCACTGACCATTGCTTACGCAGATGACATAGCCATCTTAAGCAGATCACTTCACTATATGAAAGAAAAGTTCGTCGACTTACAACTCAGAGCTAAGATAGTTGGGCTAAACATTAATGAGAACAAAACAAAATATATGAGGGTTGGAAGAAACATGCACAGCCGAATTTTAGAGCCCTTTCAAGTTGGTGAGTTTAAGTTTGAAGAAGTTGAAAGCGCCAAATACTTGGGTGTTCTTATTAATAAAAACAATGGAATCAGTGTTAGTATACAAGACAGAATTGTAGCAGCAAACAGAAGTTATTACGGACACGCGAAAATCTTCAAATCTAAAATCGTCACCAGAAGTGTCAAACTACACGCTTACAAGGCAATCGTCTGCCCGGTATTATGCTACGGGGCCGAAACGTGGACTCTAACGACAGCAAATGAAAACCAAATTAGAACATTCGAAAGAAAGGTGCTGAGAAAGATTTATGGTTCCATCCGCCTGAATCAAGAAAAATTTCGTCGGCGTACGAATGCTGAGCTACTACAACTTTATGATGGTGAAGATGTGGTGAAGTTCGCAAAGTCGCAACGCTTGAGATGGTTAGGATACGTCATGAGAATGCCGCACGATAGACCACAAAAGTGAATACTCCATTTCACGCCGTATAATAACCGCAGCAGAGGTAGACCACGTATAAGATGGCTCGGGCAAAATTGGCTCTTTCGGGCTATGCCGAAAATGCATGTTATGTAGACTGTCACTTCAGTATTGCCAATTTCAATGTTTTGGTACTTTTTGGTTGTGCCTAAATTTAAAAGCAAATGTAGATATGCTCACTTTTAATTTGCCACCAAAAATAACCAGGAAAAATAACTCATAGGGCCTATTTACACTATCATGAACGTAACATGAACATGAACTTGAAAACTGGTAACTGATAGATGAGAGAGGGAAGAGAGTGTGATGTGAGTTCATGAATTTCAAGCAATGAAATTTGGTGCGTTTCTTCAGCTTGACACGCATACATATGCAATGTTATGTTTATATTTACTTTTTATGCTGAATGCTGAATACTCTAAATTTCTGTGCTCTGCACTACTACACACAAGCATTTTATACGTTTACACAAAATAAAATAAGTGAACTAACAGTTCATGTTGTTGTCAAGTTCATCTCGCGTTCATGATAGTGTGAATAGGCCCATAGAGGCTGTAATAATGTTAATTTATTATTACATTATCTTACAACAATTGTTACCAGTACTTACAAAATTATACGCCTTTCCCTAAAATCGGAAGGTGTAATAATTAGATTATTAGCAGTTTATGAAATAGGCCATTTCTTCTCCACAACCTGCTGAACTTGCAGTGATTTAGTTTTGCTTAGTGCCGAGACACAAATACGCCGGCTCTCATGCCAGAATTTAAACCGACATATAGTTTTTTCTCTCACTCTCAATTTTATAATTTGAATTGAAAACAACAACAATTTTACTCATGCCGTGCCCAAGCCACTCCACATAACATGGCCCTAAGTCTATCTAAAGTCCTTGATATTATATAACCCATAATAAATTTTTTCCATTGCAATGGCTTCCAATGGTATGTGGTAACCTATTGTTGTCTTCCACTTTTATATTCAGTTATTATTTACGCTACAAATAAAGGGAAAACATTTTATGAGAAAATAAATATTACAAGTAACACAAACTATATTTATATTGTTTATCTGTATATAATTGATATAGTTGTCATTATTTCTAAAAGTCATATGGTTAATTCATAATAAATTTCATTAGTTTATACATATATATAAGAGAAATTAAATCATTTTGGTATTTATTAAGTTAAAAGTATGAACGTTAACATTCTAGATCAAATAGCACAGTGCCTCCAGAGCTCACTCTCTACCGACATCGATGAGCTCAATGCATCAAAAGACTATCTAGAACAAGCTGCAGTCACCAACTTACCGGAATTTATAAAGTTCCTTTCAGACATACTTGCTGGCACACATTATCCTCAATTGGTTCGTATGGCGGCTGGTCTACAAATCAAGAACTATTTAACAAGTAAGAATGAGAATGTTCTATTACTCTATCAAAAGCGTTGGTATGAATTCCCAGAACAAACCAGAGAGTACATAAAAACAAACGTTTTAAATGCGCTAGATATGGAAATAACTCGCCCTCTATGTGCTACTCAAAGTGTTGCCGTACTTGCTGTTCTGGAACTTCAGGTAAATCGCTGGATTGAGATTATTCAAACTCTAGCTAATAAAGTTCTTGAGCATCGATCAAAAGATATTGTTCGCGAAGCGTCACTTGAAACAATTGGTTACATATGCCAAGATCTACGCTGTAACATTTTAGAGTGTCAATCCAATGCTATACTTACATCTATAGTTCACGGCATGCGCAAATACGAGCCCAATAATAACATTCGTTTAACTGCCACTAAAGCTTTGCTGAATTCGCTTGAATTTGCTAAAAAGAATTTTGATGTTGAATCGGAACGAAATGTTATTATGGAAGTAGTATGCGAGGCATCTCAATCAGCTGATATTGATCTTTGCGTCTCAGCGCTTCAATGCATTGCTCATATTGCAACTCTTTACTATCATCACATGGAATCATATATGGCAGACGCTTTATTTAACATAACTTCTGAGGCAGTGAAATCAGATATTAAAGAAATATCGCTCCAAGGTATCGAATTTTGGTCAAGTATATGTGATGAAGAGCTTTGCCTCATAATGGAGCAAAAGCAATGTGATCCAAGAGATTGTTTCCCACAAAATCATTTAAAACATTACGCTCGAGGAGCTGCGCAACATTTAGTTCCAATTTTGATCGATAAAATCATAATGCAAGATGAGTTTATAAATGATGAGAACTGGAGTCCACCAAAAGCGGCTTCATTGTGTCTTTTACTATTTGCTAGGTGCTGTGAAGATGAGATTCTGCCCTATGTTATACCTTTTATAACGAGTAACATTGACGCTCTCGAGTGGCGTTACCGTAATGCTTCAATTATGTTATTTGCAGCAATTTTGGATGGTATACAAAATAATGCTCGGGAGGAACTTATTAAGTATGCAATACCTAAACTCATTCAGTTATTATCTGACAAAAATTGCATTGTGTGCGACACTACTTCATGGACGTTCGACCGCTTATGCGCTGTAGCTTCTGAAACTGTCATAAAGGATGATCATTTTCAAATGTTGTTGCAGTATTTTCTTAAAAATCTAAAATCGGAACCAAATATAGCAGCCGGTGTTTGTGGTGCTATAATAGGACTTGCAAAGGGCGCCTATGAATTGGCTAATATGGAAAAAAATGTTTTTCCAGAAACGTACTGTCTTTCACCATTTTTTGAAAACATTGTCAGTCAGATATTAGAGACAACTCAACGGGAGGATGCAACATCAAGTAATCTACGCGCATCCGCTTACGATGCGCTTATTAATTTAATTTCGAACTCTCCAATCGATTGCCTTCATATAGTTGAGCGCGTAACTACTCTTATATTGCATCGCCTTAACTATTTTCTTGGCCAAGCTGCGAGTACACAGAATCAAGGCGATCGACAACAGATTACGGATATACAATCGTTACTCTGTGCTACGTTGGAAAGCGGCTTGCGGAAATTGCCATATGAGATCGTTGAACAGTTATCCGACAATATTATGGTAGCTGTATTTACCATGTTCAACTTAAGCACTGGCCGAATGGATGGCACACTTGAAGACGGGTTTTTGGTTATAAGTGCGCTTGTTGAAATTATTGATCATGTTTTTCTTAGATATATGGACGATTTTAAGCCTTTCTTGTGTGATGGCCTAAAGAGACATAATGAAGGAAACTTATGCTCTGTCACTGTTGGATTAACTGCAGACATATGTCAAGCTCTAAAGCATCATATATTACCTTACTGTGACGAGCTCATGACAGCATTGATATCACTTTTACATGAACCGTTATTAGACTGCAGTATTACGCCACAGATTCTATCCACAATTGGCGATGTAGCAATTGCTGTTGGCAGAGATTTTTTAAAATATTTAAACACTGTTCTTGATGTTCTACGTTCTGCTACATGTTTACAATATCAGACGAATACTGTTGACGTATCTGATTACGTTGTTGATCTAAGAAAAAGCATATTAGAAGCATATACAAGTATTATTCAAGCATTAAAAGGAACTGATGCCCAGCCAAACTCTGATGTTCATTACTTGGAAACCCATTTGGTTGATATAATTAACTTTATTAAATACATTGCCGCAGAGGAACACTGTTCTGATTCACTAGTCACTGCCATTGCAGGGTTTGTTGGTGACCTATGCACAGCTTTTGGATTAAAGGTTAATTCTTTACTAGATGACTTCATTTTAACGGAGCTTCTTTCCAATGGGAGACAATCAAATGTGAAAAATACCAAAACTATGTGCTTGTGGTCATTAAACGAACTTAAGAAATTAAGAACGCTTCAACTTAGTCATCAGTAAGTCTAGGTATGGTGATAATTTTTTTCATTTAGTTTCAAGCTCTTACATAAAAGCAGTTTTTACATAAAAGCCTTTGTTCGTGTACGAATTCTGTTAAACCCGCTTAATATTACATAGTTATTCAGCAGCCATATTTAATCACGAAATAAACTACACAGAAAGGAATTGGTATTTGTTTAACAGATCCGTTACTATACATGTTTGCGTCAAGTGATTTATATAGAATAATAAATGATATATAATTTATTTTATGATATTTATAGATGATAAAATTTAATAAAATTTCCAAAGGCTTTTATTGTTCAATAAAAAAATTTTAAATTTGAATTAATATTTTTAATGTATGGAATAAAAATTCTTTAAAGGCTCATTTACTAAAGTAAAGTAATATACTGAAACTTTTAAACTGCATATTTGTTCCCCTACCAAATTGATTTCGTATCAATTACAAAGTAGACAGACCGACCTTTTCTATTCATTTACTTATACAGACAATACTTTTAATCAACCGAATGGGGCTGAATAGAAGGCCTATTATGGAGCTTCTGTGAAATTTTACTTTAACTTTTACTTTTATATTAAAATTAACCCCATTTTATTTGAAAACTACTACAGTGAATTTAGTTTGTATAGACAATTTACAAAAGTACTGGGTGCTTGTGTCAACTATTATACATATATATATTTATAATCGAATAGTTGAATAATAAGGCCCTAAAAAATTAAAATGCAGAATGCTGACTAAGGCCAGAATAAATTAGAGGCATTTATGTCTCTAATGTGTAGTTGGCATTACGAAAAGTGCTATGTTGAAGCAATTTCGTAACGACGCCTATTGCGTATCGTGGTGATGTTTCCTAGACCAAAATTTAGAATTCAATGGGCCAACCTTGATGTTGATTTATGCTGCTGCAGTTTCCCATTTTTTATTTGTTTTGAGCGTGTAGTTTTTGTATGCTGCCAATTGTTTTGTTAGCAGCTAGCTGCTAGCAGTCAGCAGCCAGCAGACAATGTGGTAATGATCAATGATCGATGATCAACGCAAAATTCTTTTGAATAAAATTCAACCTATTAAATGTTTGCTCGTATCAGTCCTTCTAAGGTTCGTTTCTATTTAAAGATCCCTATGTAATCGTATGTGTTCGAGTGGATTCGTGCATTCTCTTTGCAATTTACAATTGCAGCTCTCATTTGCTGCAATTGTATTTTTTCTTTTACATATTTGCTTTGCTAATAATTGCTAAATATAATTGAGATTAATAAAAGTTGATAGTTTTTTTTATTTCTAATACAATAAGACAAGAGCTAAATAAAAGGATTTGGGAATTCAAGTTTGTATATTTCCCTACTATTGTACTTTACGTGCTGCATTTTCAACAAAAATATTTTCATACTCTATTTAAATTCATATATATCGGGTATATTCTATAATGTCATCTGTATTTTGTTTTGTAGAAATTGTTCTAAGTTTTGTTTCTGAATACCCATATCAATTATTTTTTAATAAGTATTTATTATTTTCGTTTTCGGTTATATACGAGGTAGAGAGAGAAGTAAAGTAAACATAATATATAAACATAATATATAAACATAATATGTTAACACGCATATAGATATATAATATAGTTCTGTAAACAGAACATTGTATTACAGCTGCTTGGTAACTATATCAAAGTTTCAAGTTTAAAATAAATTTATTAGAGATATATATATATTATATATTATGCATGTTTTGTATTAAAATAACACCTAACGGATAAATAAATATACATACAAACATGTGCAGGGCTTCAAAGTGGAAATATTTGATCCTGGTTTTATTCTACTTCAATAAAAACATATATCAGTTCACTTCACGTTTCTGCTCCGGCAAAAATATCAATTTATTTCGGGGTTCGGTTTTCAGTCCTGTTCCCAAAGAATATTTTTTATATAGTACAATACAGTTTTTATGAATGAAATCATTTAATTCATTTTTTTTAAAAACACATTATTCATGAATCCATGAATTCATGAACAATCAAACTTTTAAGTTTCATTCGTCAAATTTTTAACAACTGAAGAGGACCAATATACCTAAACTTAAAATTTTCTTTCGGTTAACGGTTCAATTCTGGTTCGAAGCCATGGTGAGAACGCAATATGTGAAGTGTATAAAAACTGATTACTCATTTTAATATTTAAATTGAATGATACAATATTCTACTTATTGCAAATTGCTTTTTTAATTATACTTCTGTGACAAACAAACAAATACCTGTAATACCTGTAATACCTGTAATTTAGTTGTACCATCATATAGATCAATGCAAATGCATATGATTTGTCTTACTATATCCAATTCGTATCAACAATGTATGTGGCCAGTGCTCAACTTGGTGCATATAAATATGTACTTCAAAATAATAAGAGTGCAAGTGTTACTTAACAGCACCAAAAAAGCGAAAATAACATAACATAATATCATTTTATATGTAGCAAGTGTGAGAAACGGTGGTATAAACGCTTTCAGTGTTAATAGCTGAAGTAATTTATACAATCTGTTCCTACTCTTTATTTTAGAATATTTTCATAGTTCTGATATACGATCTAAGCACATCGGAATATACATATATAAGCTTCTATTATTATTGTTATTATTAATCTGGATCATTGTGTCTGACAATTTATACAACAGGTACCCACAACAAAAAGAACAGATTAAAAACAAATAATCTCTACAATTTACAATTTAAGACTATATTAAGACATATATTAAATACATCTGGTATTTCTGTATTTAAAATGAATTTACGAGTATCTTCATGTTAATGTAATGTTATTACCGGAGTTCTAAGGCTCGCAATACAAAAAGTTTTAGGAACGTAGCAGTTACACTGGCGTTATTCCGATATTGGATCCGATATTGGAGTGAACCCTAATAATTTATTGGTAAATAGAAATACAGAAAATCTTTTACATTAGTTTACCTGTGGTGACTTTTCGTAAATATTTAAAATGTGTAATGTAGCGTTAAACAAAACGAAGCGCAAAACTGCTTATATGGAAAGAGCCGACGATTTAAACGGGAGCCGATTTAGACATCGCAACTAAATACAATTTGATTGTATTTATCTTTGGTGTAGTGGTGATGATTATTTGTTTGTGCTGAGTGTGATTACTTATTTTAGATGCATGCATAGTTGTCTATATTGGACATTTCATTATTAGAGCGATTTTCTTAATAAAAAGACTTTACACTGCGAACATCAATCCATTTTGTTGAAGTGTTTGCCGCCAACAAGGACCCTTTACAAAATCACGAAAGAAAGTGCTTTGTGTGGACATATAAAATAGGATACTCTCTTATTAAGAACGTGTGTGTAATCAGTACGTGTATACCTAATAGATAGAAATGAATAATAACTGAACGAAGTACCTAATTCATTTCAAATTTAATTTTAAAATATTGGTGATTGAAATGCATTAAAAAATATCATTTAGTAAAGTTCTATATAATTTAAGTGAAACAACTGCACTTCTTCATAGTGCATATTAAATACAAATTTAATTGGTGAAAATAAAATATATAATTGGTGAAACACGTTAGTTTGTCATAGCGTGCTGTAGTTATCATTGAGAAAATCAAATACTATTATTGATCTTGATCTAAATATGGATCAGAATCTATTATATTAGTTGATTTGAGTTTCTTCAGTATATTGTATTTCGAAAATAAAGTTCAGTTGTTATTACATTCATAAAAAATAAATTGTTAAATATCATTATATTACTTGAATGTATTCCTTGGTGCAGATTCTCTTAAAGTGAAACTGCCAAGATGTGTGACGATGATGCGGGTGCTCTTGTAATTGACAATGGCTCTGGTATGTGCAAAGCCGGTTTCGCTGGTGATGATGCACCACGTGCTGTATTTCCATCAATTGTCGGCCGCCCACGCCATCAAGGTGTGATGGTAGGTATGGGTCAAAAGGATTCTTATGTTGGTGATGAGGCTCAAAGTAAACGAGGTATACTAACGCTTAAATATCCCATTGAACATGGTATTATAACGAATTGGGATGATATGGAGAAAATATGGCATCACACTTTTTACAATGAGCTGCGAGTAGCACCTGAAGAACATCCCGTATTGTTGACGGAAGCACCTTTAAATCCAAAAGCGAATCGTGAAAAAATGACTCAAATAATGTTTGAGACATTTAACTCACCAGCTATGTATGTGGCCATACAAGCTGTCTTATCACTTTATGCATCCGGTCGCACAACAGGCATTGTTTTAGATTCTGGCGATGGCGTATCGCACACTGTACCAATCTATGAAGGTTTCGCATTGCCACATGCCATATTGAGATTGGATTTAGCTGGCCGCGATTTAACTGACTATCTTATGAAAATTTTAACTGAACGTGGTTATTCATTTACGACTACTGCTGAACGTGAAATCGTTAGGGACATTAAAGAAAAACTTTGTTACGTAGCTTTAGATTTTGAACAAGAAATGGCAACAGCTGCTGCTTCAACTTCATTGGAAAAATCGTATGAACTACCCGATGGCCAGGTAATAACTATAGGAAATGAACGGTTCCGCTGTCCAGAAGCGCTATTCCAGCCATCTTTCTTAGGTATGGAATCATGCGGTATCCATGAAACTGTTTATAATTCAATTATGAAATGCGATGTGGATATTCGAAAGGATTTATATGCAAACTCTGTTCTATCTGGCGGTACTACCATGTATCCTGGTATTATTATTAGATTAATATTTCGATAAAAATATTTATAATGGAAAACTTTTTTAGGTATTGCTGATAGAATGCAAAAAGAAATAACTGCCTTAGCTCCGTCTACAATTAAAATCAAAATTATTGCACCTCCTGAAAGAAAGTACTCCGTTTGGATTGGTGGTTCTATTCTCGCATCACTTTCAACCTTCCAACAGATGTGGATTTCAAAACAAGAGTATGATGAGTCTGGTCCTGGCATAGTACATCGCAAATGTTTCTAAATCTTTTCGCAGCGATGTTTTCAAATGTCCGCGCGATGCAAATATTCTGGATAGCTGTCCAAATAATACCAATCAATCATGTTTATGTCTATTTTTATTTAACAAAAAGCTAATTCTATCTACTTATTGCAGAATATATATTGTACTAAAACAAAGTATTCTTTTATAATTATCGGAGAATAAAACTATAAACATTACTATAAAGAAATTCATTCAAAAATGTTAATAAAAATATTTCAGGTTCCTGCTTTAAGTGGATTCCTTTATTTCTGTACTTTTTCACTGAAATATTATAAGTTGGGAAAAAGTTGGAAAAAAGGGAATGTCAAGTAGTCTTGGAAAAAAGTCTTTTCAAGCATATTTTGTATTTGATACGACGTAGATTGATTTTCTTGCTACGTAGGTATAGAGCTTTATTACTTGCAATACCATTCATAAAGAAGTATGCATACGGGTATGTACGAAAGAGAGAGAAACAATATTGAACAGACATATAATATTGTGTGTTTGGGCTAAGGAACAGGTGCAATATAGCACATAAAAAAATTGGTGAAACATCTTTTGGTTATGCGTATTTTCGTTAATCTGAATGAAGAAGATTTGGTAGAAATTAAATGCACCCTTGACAGAAGACATCTCGAATACTTGTCGCTTTAATTGATAACAGCTGTATGACAATTATAACGGGATCTTAAAAACATTTCAAAAAAATTATTGATGGTTAATTACTTAATCTTGCAAATTTTGCAGCCATTCAAGAGAGTACTATAAAATTTGATCAAACTTGATTAGTTCAAACTATTTGATTTACATTCTTTTTATTTCTAATGCTGAATATAATTCTGATATTTTTACCTCAATTAATAATTATGTACTTCATTTTAGTATCTACAGTAGATCAAATATGCCTATAACTTATGTGATATTCTCCCGATGGTATTTTATTTACTTTGGTGATGTCAAGAAATGTTCCATACAACCATCCATTCCATTCTTCGCAATTTCTGCATAAAATGATATAAAGTATTCGTTTTTTTAATAGTGCATGTAATAAATTTACCAAAAATAACTTCTAATAAATCGAAATATATTATTTATCACAACAATAAATAAATCATAAAGACATATCATTTTTGTTAAATAGTTTTGTTCGATTGGGAGAAGCTAAAATGTCTTCTTAATATATTTTACAAGAACGTTGAATATTTCAACGAATTGTACCAATATTGTAGGGACTGGGACCAATATCTATCTATTATAAATAATTATAATAATGTGTCTGGTCATTTCTGTTTTAATGTCATTATGTCATGTCTTTTCTATTTTTATTTGATTTGTATCAAAAAGTAAAATTAAGTCGTAATGTTTAATGTTGGGATTGCATGAAGAAGAACAAACATTCTGTCTACATACTCTTTCATATTGTGCTTTTACTACTCTCCAGAATAGACATCAAATTTTTTTTTAAGAACTTGTCGAGAATATTAAAAGCACATACATATTGTTCAATATGTAAGAGTACATATGAATATAACGAGGACTTGGAAGCGAAGCTCGTAGGCACCGAAACCCCGTTTCTTCTAAAAAATAATATAGTTAAAGATAAAAATACAATATCGAGCAGCCAATCGGTGGTTTAAAAACTCTGCTCTAGCAGAATATTATTCAAAACAGCAATTAATGTGTTTAACACGTGTTAAAATGTATTTATTCATTAATTCTATTAATTATATTCTATACATAAAATATGAGTGAATGCTTGCACCGAAAAGTTGATGTCAGCACGTAAGAGTGTATAAGAAATCTGATGTGAATGAAATAAAGAATTGAGTGCTTTGTAAAGTTGAACTAATAAGTGTTTAAAATTTCTTAAGTGATGGTAGTATTAAGTATTTTTTTTTATTTTGAATACAACAAACCAACTTCTTCGGGAAGAGTGATCAGTTTCTTTTCAAGATAATACATTAAATTTATTTATATTCTTATTGGATTCAGCAAGAAACGATTTTTAATTCTTGATAATAAAAAACGATTAACCAAATTATCCAAAATTTCCAAACAATAAATTTATTCATAATTTTTTAAATCCATTTTTTTCAAAAAAGGTGAAAATCCTGTGAACAAAAAAAAAAGATGTGACCAAAAAATATTTTTCAACGTGTTACATGCAGAAATTAACTGAAGACAAATTATGTTCATTAAGAATATTAAGCATATTATATTGAATAGCAATAATACATGGGCTTATAAATCTTAACTCTCAAAAAATTTTCCTCTAACAAAAAAGCGACGAACGATGAACTCAATCGAAACAATTTAGTGTATGAAAACTGTTTACAGGGAGATGTAAACAATACACGTGAAAAAATATATATCGCAAAGCTATATATTTTCCTTGAAAATATTAAAATATTGAAATTGTATCAGTAGTAAAACGTTTACTATTGTAAGATTGAGTATTCATGAAAAGAATTCAACAATATCTCTAGGATGAAATTATGGACAACTGTACCAATTGGCACAACGTCCATAGTTATAACATTGAAACTTCCACATGTTCTAGACCAGGTATTTTATCATCATGAAAACAATGGATCTTTTTATGCTGGGTATATTCTATTTATCTTTGCGACGACTGATAAAAACTAATAGAAACTAAAGAAATCTTTAGTTCGACTTGTTATTCTCAGGTGTATGTGCCTTAGAAATTATAAACCAGGTGTTGGCATAAGTAAAATGCGTGTCTTATATACACATTCGACCGAGCTTTTTCGTAGCGTGTCATTTTTGTTTACAGCTGATCTCTCGTAATTCTTGTTTACTTTTGCCGTTCTGATTTTCTATTTCATGTTGTGTGCGGTACTCGGCTTATGCACTTAACTTCTTGTTGAGCTTCTCTTACGGCGAATATTTTTGACAGTTCTTGTTCTTGTTTTCTTATTTCGCTATTCTGGTGCTTTGTTTTGATTCTTACAAAACGTGTTTTAAAGCTACATTCGGTCGGTGGTGGTTTTATTTATTTTATTTATTATAATAAAATAAAATATTAACAGTGCAAATATTCATCAAATTTAAAACATAAAAATAAGAAATATAATTAACAAATTAATAAGGTGAGTTTATTATTCATTTATTTAATTATATTTTTATATTTCATTTTAATATCATTTCAGATTAGTTTGAGGTGTTATTAAGGCTTGCAGGCGGGTTGGGTTTTGATAAGTTGCTTTGAAAAAATATTTTATATATTAATTAATCTATTTATTTAATTCCAGATATTTGTAACATTTAGTGAGTGTTCCTTTTTTTCAATTTAAATGTAATTATAAAAAAAAAACATGTGTTGTTTTATAAAATATCGGTGTTCTACTGGCATGTTTTAGTTCGTGTTTTTATTATCTTTATTATCTTTTAGCACGTTTATGTAGGTGGAAATTTAGCGTAAATTTCCATCCTTACAGTCATCCAAATTTCAACAAATTAACTTTTGACTCAGTCGAAAATTTTTGTCTTTGCCTTTTCTTTGCTATTCGAATCCGTCTAGTAGCAATTTATGTTGACCATTTGGGAACAGAAGTAGAGATTCGGCTGAACGACAAATTTGTCCTTTTACTTTGAAAGTTGGCATAAATTTAGCTGTTATTACTTTTGCGACGAACGCTTAAGTATAGAAAAACTTTTGATTCAGCAGTTTATCCGCCAAAGTAATTGTCGCGACTGTAATTAAAGCAATTGAATCGTTTGAATTCGTTTCTACATTAAATATAAAAGGAATGAAATCGTCATAGTGGCGATGAAAACATACCGATTCAAACTATAACCATTAACTTCGTTGAGCTGCAATGCAAATCGAATTTAATTGTTTGGTTGCTTAGCTCGGAATCGTATTTGATGTTCATCTGCTGATTCTCATTGACGTCTTTCAGCCACTTTTAGTATGTCATGTTTATTCTGTTGAGAATGTAGCAGATCTAAAGCTGAAGAAAGCGATCGCTATACTCACAAGCGCGCATCATAAAATCTGACTGTACGTTGTTTTGCTGCTTCCTGGGCACGATATTAAGACATTTCCTGTTTCCCTGCTGTTCGTTCGTTTCTTCCCGATCCCTTAGTGTAATTTGATTCGTGAATGACTCGTACCACTGTTTCTATTTGGAGGATATAACTCTCTAATACCAGGTTCGCACTATCTCATTTAGGCACTTGCTCATTTATATAAATGAGGAAGCGTTCACATAATAATGAGCTCATTTATACAGCTTTTAGAACTTTTATATGTCAAAAAAGCTATAAAAGAACTTTCTTTTGTTTACAAATAAAACACAAATAAAAATTTTGGTATTGTGTAAAATAAATATTTTAAAATGGAAAACACGAAAAATTTAAAAAACATAATATATAATGTGTGTAAAATTATTAATAATAGAAAAAAAGAAAGCAATTTCTGAATATCGTAAATGTCGTGCAATGCACCGAAAATATATACTTGAAATAAGAAAAAAGCAAATAGCAAAACTTTCTACAATAATTGCTAGCAACCGGAGGAAGTGCTGGACTTTGGTTAGTGCCGCCAGTAATGATTATTAAATAAAGTTTAAAATTAATATTTTTTTCAGAAAAGAACAAAGAAATTCTGGGAAGCGGATTGCCTGAAAAATGGTCCAAATTTTTTCAAAGAAAATTTTCGCATGAGTTTGGAATGATTTAAGGAGTTATGTGAATTATTAAAAGGACTACAGAAAAAAGATACAACCTTTCAAATTTCAATTTCTTTAGAAAGGAGAATTGCCATTGGCTTGTATTACCTTGGGTCGTCGGTTGAATACAGAAGCGTAGTAAATCTGTTTGGCGTTGGCAAGTCAACCGTGTACATTTGCCTGAAATTATTTTGCCACTAAAAATTTAAATACTTAATCGATATATTAAATCATATCAATATATATCAATTATATATTCAATTAATAAAAACAGATTGTATTTAATGCTCACTTTTTCAGTGTGCTTGTTTACAGCTCAATTGTTGTTTGTTTACATTTTATATTTAAAAATATATGACAGATACTTCAAATTTTGGTCATTTCCCTTCTGGGAAATTTTTTTTAAAGGGTTGCATTCGACAATTTTAATCTAAAAAAAACTGATTTATTGTAAATCAGCACATTTATATGAAAGCTCTTTGTATGGTAAATCATGCTGA